ATCACACTCATGCTAATTTGCATTGAGACCAACCATTCTTATCGGAAATCATGTAGTATATTAATCGAAATGTATCAATTCAGGGTCAAACCTTTCTTTCAACTTGCATTTTCTCCGGTAACGGAAGGCATTTAATAACTGTCTCATAACTGATTTAATAATCTTTCCTCTTTTCTATGATTTTTTTATTCAGGTTATATATTCATCCCCTATTCACATTTTATGGCTCCCCTCATGTAAAAGTCAACATGATTTACATGTTGAAAAAAAGCATTACTTGAATCAATTTTTGTAAGCCTTGGAGAATTTTGGTGAAACCATCAAATAATTGAAAGCAGAAATGAACTATAAGCTAGGTCACTGATGTCGAGATTAGCGTTAAAAAAAATTCCATGATGCGTCAGACAGTGCACTTTAGAATTTGTGTTTTCAATGCAACACTAATTTAAGTCGACGACCATTATTCAGTAATGGATTAATCAATACAAACCGATGCGTTTATATTAAAGACTGGGGTCTAGCAGCGGTAAGTGTAGACTCAGTAATCATCAAAATAAATAGAGTAGATTTTATATAATATCCCTGTGAGCATAAAAGGTGGCGTGCAAGAAAAAAAAAAAAAAAGCTGTCATTTCGACGACCATGTTTTTTCTTTCCGCCTTTAGGATCGATCCACTTTCGGTGATTTTTTTTTGGGAGCCAGCATGTAAAATACGGGAGTCAGGATCGGAGTCAGCGCGCTAGACCACGGCTTATTGTCGTTTGCAACTTCACTGAGATTGATTATAATTATTTGCTGTGGAAGCATGATGGAAAATTAAACTTCCCTTTGACACCAATCACGCTAAGTTGGCAACCATGGGACACACGCTCTATGTTGTCGTAATAGTGAATTAAAGTTTGCAAAAGATGCAGCGTCATCTATTGTTTGAATTTAACGTACTCGTTGACTTAGTGCCGTATACACGCAAATAGATTATTAACGAAAGAAAATGTGGTAAAATGCAATATGTCTTATTTCTATCATTTATTCATTCACTCATTAAACTATTTGTTATCGCAATAACAATTTTAGAGATGAAAAGTTATCAGATTTTCTGAATTCCTGAACATTCTTAACTTACGTGAATAGCAACCGAAAATCCCAACGTTAACTGTCGTAATGAAATGAATTATGGTCTTTCCAATCATATTGAACTAAGATCCCTTTCTCTCTGGGCCGAGTCTAACCAATAACGACCGTAACTGATCAATTGGTTTCTTCTTTTTTCGAGTTTTCTTCTCTAAGAGGCATAGGTATATTAAGATGAATTATTTGTAAAATTTTGTTGCATGTCTCCAAGTATGGTAGGATTATCAAAAAATTTATCACCTGCCCCTCCTCGAAGGGTTCTTTTCTAGGCCCTAATGGTTTTTTAAGTAATGGAGCAGCAACAGATTTATTTATTTATTTATTTACAGCTCTTCTGTTCAAATGGATGCTACTGCAGTAGAAAGAAAGCATCGAATAATGTTCGATCAGCTTTGTTAGGAAATCTGACACTGAAACATTGCGGGTTGTTTTTTTGATGACTCTAAAATCTTTCTTATGACTCTTTTTAAGTCATAACACCGTTGCCTACTCGTCTTTGATTGTAATTTTGTTTTAAAAGGAAATATCATGCTCAGATATAGGGATAAATATAAGAAGTAACAGCGGAAGGTACTGTCATAAGTTATATAAAATTTTAGAATTGGACCGCATTGAAAACTTTATTAACCTACTTTTCGATAACGCATACAGCGATAATGACACGTCTATTTTCCGAAATAAGTTCTTTTCTTCTGTGCCACAGTAGCGCAACGGACACTTAGACGTCTGATAAAGTTTGTAGATATGGTAGGATGAGCAGTTCTTCACAGAAATTTGGGTAGTGCGATAGCAACCTTTAGAGTGATCACTAAAGCAGACCTTCCCATAAACTTCACCATCTTTCACAGTAGGATGAGCACCATCTAACCAGCCTGGGAATTTTGTACCACATTTGAATACTGACACACGCGTTGTTGGCATTTTTGTTCCTGCAGCTCCCACAAAACGATATTATCCCACAGGGAGTTGGCTATCACAAAACGTTGATCCATGTAACGGTGTTTTGTGAATTCTATTTCGATTGGCATCACTCAGGTTTTTGTAATGATAACAAGGATCGGCTACACAGTGAAATGATAATTACAAAAGGATTTAAGTTATTAGAAATTATTGATTGCATTAAGTAAGAGGTCAAGTAATACTTGTGTGGGATGATATCATACTGTTAAACGATAAAAATGGGAATATATCTAATCTAAACATATTGTAAGGGTTTCCAATATTGGTGTTGGGGGAATGAATGGAAATAATATATTAGCATAGGCCATTCCGTAAACATTGTAATAAGCCAGTTGATCATTTCTTATTCCTTTTTGCGGTCTTATCTTACAAATAGAGTTTGGTCACCTTTTCCTTATTATATATGATCGTGAATTTGACATAGAGACAGATGTTTTTGCGTAAATTGCGGTTTGCGACTAGTTACCGGTATCCTTTCATCACGTTGTTCAAAAAATAATTAATTACAAAGAAAATGACTCTACCCTATAAAAATTGATCCTGCACAGGAGTTTCCTGGAAATATCCCTTCTTTATACTATCCATTTAATACTCTCGTTTTTGAGTTAAATCCATGTCGAATTCTCCATCAGGAAAATAGTTTTCAGTTTTCAATTTAAAACGTTCGACATCTCTTTTTCTAAGAGGTGATTTAAGGTGTAAACGTACTTTCATCTTCTGCACTAAATTTGTAATTAGATAACCTATACGAATACCACGTAGTTCTCTTAGAGGCGGTACCTTGGGTACGTCCTTTCTTCTCCGAATTTTGCGTTTACTCTGCTGTTATGCAACAACCTTCAAGGACAATTTTCTTTTAAGATACCTTTTCAAGTATGATTCGGTTACTAAGTTCATTGTAATTTTTATATTGTCGATTTTGTTTTTGTTTTGCCTAAACTTGATTGTAAGACCGAGAAATTTAGGTTAGAAAGACATTTCGTAATGCGTAAACATCGCGAAAGTAACTACTTAGTATGCGAACTCCGTTCTACGCAGCCCAATGTTATTCGCTATTTAAGTGTAAAAATATGACGAAGGTTAGAGATCTCTGTAAGTGTCACCTTTATAAACGGTGACTCTCATTTTCCTCGAGAGATCAGAGCTATTCCCCCTTGTGACAGCTAGTGTAAAAGGTTAGAATAAAGAAAAAGTCAACAGAACGAGTGTTAGAGTAAATTTTACCCTTAAAAATACTATGAGGCTAAAAAATCAATATGAGAAATACATTTATTAACCATAGATAGCAGTATCTTAATTCATGTTTTCTTTTTTTTGTTCTATAACGCATTAAAGGACAGCTTTCGGTAAACTAAAGGTGCAGGTAACGTAGTTCACTTATAAACAAGCAGCAATATGGTCGTTAATGACCACCTGAGTAGGGATGATTCAGATCGAGTCAAACCAATCGGGATCATAATTAATTTAATGGCATGATAGATAACAAACGTACTTCAATACTTAACACCATTCCCGATAAGATGTGCTTTACAAGAACAGTTGTATGAGCCCTGGGTATTAATGCAAGAGGCATTCGGATGGCATTATTTTATATTATAGACATAAGCCTCGCTGCATTCGTCAATATGTGAAAGATAACACGCCTACTAAGTCAAGATAAATATACAACGTATGCAATAGAAGATAGAGAAAACTAAATGTCACAAAATTTAGTACTCATAATCTTTGAAAAGTGATGTTTGTCATAAAAAGAGCAAAACTGTTTTTTCAAAAAAATCGGACATCAACGACAACGTGAGGATATGAGAAATCAGCCATTTATCCATCTGAATAGAGCTACCATTAAAATAATTTCAGGTTCTAATTATGAATAAAATTGTTATTGTTAAGAGAAATAATTGTACTTCGCTATAGATTAGAGAGCTATAGAGAAAGATCCATTTTGTCCTCTGATACATGCTACGTCACAGCGCAAAGTGAGATATTTGATGTAAAATGTGTTGCTGCACAGGAACAATTTTTTTTCCTCAACGGGCGCGCACCATCATTTGTTTATTTGACGTTACATAGAATTTAACAATTTCGAAAATCGTTTACCGCCTTAAGTATTTGAGCGGACGACATTGCAAATTTCTGTGACGCAGGAGAGTAAAGTGTCACCAGCCAATTTTGATCACCGATTTCCGACTGGTTTAAAGGGGATATGTCACTGCTCGCACACTCCAAGTATGAATCGTTAAGATTAAAAAGTAGGAATATAGCGAATGTCAATACAAGATAAATAAAACTCGATGTCACAAAATTTCACCACCAATTTTTATTACAGAGAAACAAGATTTTCCATGAAAATCGGACACCCTGAAACGATAAATAGTCAGCCATCCTGATAGTGAGGTACTATATAAAAATACTTCAAGCTCTCCTTATGGAGCACGCATTTTAATTACATTCAAAGTTTTTGGTTTTTTTTGTTTTGTTTTTGTTTCCGTTTTTGTTTTTGTTTTTTCTGTGTTACACAGGAGTATTTCAACGGGTAGTCCATAAAAAATAAATAAATAAAAAAAATTAAAAAATAAAACACGTCAACGATTACTAACGCTTTGTTTCAAAATATACATGAATTGAAATTTTCTTTTCATCTTCATTATGTTGTTTAACACATTTACGAAATTTTATACCTTTTAGCCCTAAGGTTCAAAGTAAAACTTGCGATATCGTTTCACACCGACGTCTTTTACTACTGCACAGTCCATTCAAAGGTAAAAAGAAAAAAAAAGGCATCGAGGATATTCGTTTACATCAAAACAAGATTTAAGGGTTCGTAACATGATTGAACGCGGTGTAAAACAACTCATCCAGGATGCAATGCCAATTACCCTGGCGTAGAAGTTGCTCTTTTCCAACCAATTCAGGTGAAAGTTTCTAATACTAAACAAAATACATCAAATTCACCTGTGCAATTTTGTCCATTTCCTTTATATCCACGCCGACATTCACATACGTGTGATCCAATGGTATTCGTACATTTTGCATTCTCGTGACAAGAGGAGTTTCCTTTACACTCGTCAACATCTAAATAATCAAAGACAGGAAAAGGATCTCACAATTATGTTAAAATTTCTGTGAATCAGTCATTACCTTGTTTGATTGATTGCAAGCCATGGCTGTTGTCAGCGAGAACAAGAGATTTGCTCAAATGAAGAAAACAAGTTAACTAGCACTACACAAGTTTTAGTCGGTTAACTGCCTCACCTTACGTTAAAAAAAATTGAAACAAACAAAAAAACCAACAACAACAAACAAAAATTCATTAATACAGTCAAAACAAATATGAAGGCTTCTGAGATTATTGACCGTACCTGTACAGTTGCGTCCATCTCCAGTATATCCAGGTTTGCATGTGCAAACGTGTGATCCGTGCGTTTTACTACAAGTGGCATTTACGTGACATTTGTCGGGGTATGTTTTGCATTCGTCAATATCTGTCAAAAAAAGGAAAAAAGAGAAAAGAATGAAAATGGGATTTGGTTTTCATTCGAAAGTCATACATGTACATGTATATGGAAAAAGTGGAATACTAGTTTGCAATTTTTTGGTTTCATGCGATTCTCGGGTTGGACCTGTGAGTCAAACCGCTATTGTTCAATTTTTTTCACGTTGATACAGCAAAGACTCTCTAAAGCATACGCAATAAACTGCTCTTGTTTTGCTACGGGAGCACAAAACACGTTACATAGACAAAAAAAGAAAGAACGAATTAAAGTAAATCATCTGTGACCGCATTTCCTTGTTATTCCGAATTCACCTGTGCAATTTTGTCCATTTCCAGTATATCCTGGCTGACAATCGCATACATGTGATCCATTGGTGTTGGTGCAGTTTGCATTCTCATGACAAGCGTTGTTTCCTTTACACTCGTCAACGTCTATGAAATCACAGATGAAAAAATGGGATTTTAAATTGTGCAAAAACTGCCGTGCATAAGCCATTACCGTGTTAAAGAGTGCAAGCCATGGCTGTTTTCAACCTTTTGCTGGATTGCGAGAAAGCAAGATTGTCGTACCTGATGAAAAAAAAGTTGGCTATGCAGAAACCTATCTCTTAATGACTTTTAGTCAGATAACTGTCACCCATTTTGAACAATTAAAACATGGCTTGCCACTTTACCAAGATAAACATCATCAAACAACAAAATCTAATTGTGCTATTCAGCAAGAATCTAAAGGCTTTTGAGACTATTGACGGTTACATGTACAATTATGCCCATTTCCGGTAAATCCAGGTTTGCATGTCTGTCGTAAAATTAGAGAAAAATAAGGACAAAAAAAAATACATGAATAAAATATCAACTAAAGACATAAGATTTTTGGTTTCTATCAAAGAGCCACAGGAACTCGGCAATTCGCAAAAACCTCAATTTATTTGTAGCTTCCTGCTTTAAGTGGTTCTCTGGTGGGACCTTTCAATTAAGCTATTATTTCTTAGCTCTCCCTGCAGTTACTATATTAAGCATTCGACACACATATGAACTGCTCGAAAGGCGTCGAAAGTTCGAGGTAAACAAAAAAAAAACAAAAATAAAACAAAAACAAACAAAAAACAACAACAAATCAGACAAACCTAAACAAAACAAAACGAAAATATACAAACGAGTGAACGAAGACTGCGTTACTACTAAATATTATTACATTCTAAGATTTAGCACCTTATACAATGAGACAAATTCACGCCACTTTCAGCAACTAAAGAACAGTTCTCATACCAGCATTAAAAAAAAGAAAAACAAAATAAAGAAAAAAAAATCATAGGCGTTCATTTCAATTGTTGACTTAGACTTATACCCTTATCACAATGTTCTCCCTCGAATCCAGGAGGACATGAGCATCGATATCCCTTGAATGTAAATCCAGACTGGCAAGTTGCGTTATTTTCGCAGTTGAGACCCTTGTCACAAGCGTTCTAAAGAAGAAGAAAAATAAAAATGAAAGAAAGAAGCGAAATACCGAATCATCGAATACACGAAAATTTGCATAAAAATTAATTATTGTTATTATACTATTCAAAGGCGACAATTTCAAAAAATCGATTTGTAACTCACCTTCGAGCCACGGTAATAAAAATTGACATTAGTTGTCAAGTCACTGTCGTATTTCAGATGAGTGGCGTTATTTAGTTCACAGATGTGGACTGCTTCATTATACTCTGGATCTTTTTCGAAGTTAAGACTGACACAGTCGTCGTTCAGGTAGCACATTAGCTCACAGTCATCTAAGCTATTGACACGTTTCTCTTCAATGGTATGGTTTACCAAACGTCTTTCAGCAAAGAAGTAGTAGTCCGGAAAGACCATTGCACGCTCTGGCTCTAAAATGGACAAATTGAAATATGATTATAAGGCATACTTTTCCGTCGCAAAAAAGTTAAATTTCGAGTAAAAAGTTCTAAGAACAAATCTCTTAGCAAAAATTTTCGTATCTCAGCAAACTATGGTATCAAATGCGTTAAAAACGTAAGTCAAACAAAGCAGTCGGTGAGAAGAACGATGACTCGTTAAATGTAATAAAAAACTTAGTAAATTGCCTCGCCGTTTTCTACAATCAAACAATAACATAAAACTACCTTTATTTGAGAGTTTGGTGGTTTCTGAGGTACGGAACATTTGTGGCAAATATTTCATGTTTCACATGAATTTGGCAATTGAAGAAGCTCGTACGATTTTAGGTGAGTCTATCAGACGAGCTCATCAAACATTGTGCAATTCTTACTACAAAGGGAGTTAACTGACGTTTGTATTTTTTGATGTAGTTGTCATCAGTGCAATGAACACAATTTAAATTCTCTTATAGGGAGCCTTAAATATCTCAAAACTTTGACCAGGGATGGTCTTAAAGTGCATCTTTTTCTTTATATGAACGGGTGCTTGACTATTGAGTGTTTATTACGGAAATTTATAACTGAAGAGCACCCCTGCGGCTCTTTTTTTTTCGAACGATTATCGTGAACAGAGGGAGTTCGTGCAAATTTAAGCCGAGAAAAAAAACCATTCTTGTTCTGCGTCTACGATCAGATTTGTATTCGTTTTCGAAAGTTTTCTAAGCTACAAATTTAGAACAAAATTTTAATTTTTTTTTTACTTTTGCAAGCCAATGTAAGCTGTTTGAATTGCTTAGCTATGGTGAATATAATCGTCTCTTTATTTCCGTCATTTGTTCTGTGAAAACAACTCATTTATCTGTTCATCGCTTTAATTCATTGATTTTCTTTTCTCGTGTCGAATAAAGTCCACCCACATCATTTTTCTGCTTTTGAAAATAAATTGATCACAGCAACAGAGTTTTAAATTTGCTTGTTGAAGCTGAGCTACGACTTCATTCAGCTGAGTTGCCATGGAGTTGTGCCGGATTCTCAAATTGTGGTTCTCTTCCCGAAGACGCCTTATTTCGGCCTCATAAACCTCTATAAGAGATGGCTGTGTCTGTGCCAGTGTGCAACTCTGTGCTCGATTGTGATGAAAATAAGTTAGAAAACTCCCACCGCCGGCGGACTTAACCTTAAATTTCGACAACATTACTTCGCAAGTATCAGTACTCATTACACCCTGAGGTTTTTTAGTTACCATCATTTTATGCCTCGTGTTCATTCACGGATAACTTAAACAAAGTGATTACTTTTAATACAATGCAATTGAAGCAGTTAGAGAGGCAAGCGCGAACTGAGATCGCTCATCATGAAGCGGTCGCGTGTATCATGAGAACTGATCGATATCAAGGAATATTGCTGCTTTTTTGCGCCAAGTGCATATACCATTAAATAACTAATTTGCCCGCGGTTTAAATACTTTCTAAGCATTTGCGTTGTCATTAGATGGTTTCTTTTTCGGTTTCCTTTCAAAATTCTTCATTGTTGAAACCAGTGTGTCGACATCGATGGGAATAAATGCGAGTAACGAGCATCCATATGTTCCGACATGTATTCGAGAATAAGCCGTAATGTAATAAAGATCGTCGGTGGAAAATGTCGTTTGAGATCAGAAGAGTAAAAAGACAATAGACTTCTTATCTTGTCTCACAAATCTTGCCGTCTGGAAAATCAGATGCCATCTTCACGGTACATAAAACCTTCAGCGGCGTTCAGTCATTCATCTCTCAAAGGATTCAAATTCATCTCGGTTTTTGTTTTTTGTTTGATCTTTTTTCCAGAGGATGAAAAACTTCGTCAATATCAGTGCGCAACAAACGCAAACCAAGACCCTGTTCTAAAGCGCGGTTACACGAGCGATTTTTTTGCTTGCGATGGTGATGCGATTTTGTCAGTTTCACGGAATGAGTTTAATTCAAACAAGTTTCATTCGTGACCATTCACACGAATTTCATTTGGTTTCATCACTCTATCTTTGTCAGTCTCTCATTTGCCACATTCTGTGTCTCGACCGACCCTCCCTGAGTAGCAAGGGTAAGATTTGACACAAACGCGCTTTCGCTAAATATTCAAATTTCGCGCTCGTGCAGTAATCGGCTTTGTTTGAATTTACCTCATGAATTTCGCTATTGTAATGCCAGAGAGTTTGAATTTCCCTCGTGAATTAATAAGCCATTGTTTGGCTCTAAAGCTATTGTTTCAAGATATCCTTTTATGGATATTTGAGAAACTAAACAAAGGGCATTGTCTTTGAATTTGATCAGCTTTTCTTGATACGTATATTTGAATAGATTTCAGTCTAAGGAGTCCTTGCTAAGATTGATTATGAAAGAACACAAAATTGGAAAATTGCACCAAGCTTCTGTGCAAAGGTTTTGTTAAGGATCATCTCAACTAAGCTATTTGTTCTTTGGCAAGTCTTAAAGCCTCCAACTCGAAAAGCAATATCTAAAAGGATTTTGCGTCAGCGGTTCTATTTTTTCAATCTCACACTGTGGTTAAATTATAAGAAGACGGGCTACCTCATTTTTATAGACAGATCTATAAAACCAGTATAAATTGGTCTATTCCAAATGCCAGCATTGTTCTTCTATAAAAATAACTTCGCTTAAGTTGGCTAAGAGGGACCAATTTTTTTTCCATGCAAATTATCGAATTCCCGTCTGCAACACAACAACGAAATGTTTTTGATAGAATTGATTATCCTTCCATGTAAATATGAGCTGATGAGCGTTAGGATTGAAGTTGTTTTGAATGAAGCAATTCTTCATCATAGCAATTCTTACTTTTTTTGTAACAGCTGAAAATTTCCGATATGGTTCATCATAATAATACGCTTTTATTAAATACTGTTAATATCTACAAAAGAAGTTTACAAGACTGAGGTTCCTTCCTTTAAAAATCATCTTTGTTGAATTCAGGTTTCGTAATTTTGTCATAACGACACGTTAATAAGCTCAGTGCGTCAGCTGTTGTAAATCAGCGAAATAGAAATAAAGAGTGACGGAAAATAAGATAGCACGGGCTGGAGTATGAATATAGGGATGGAAAATGATGCGCATTTTGTAACTCACCTTTACCAAACGTCAAGTAAGTCGTCGATGAAGTCCAGACTGCGAATACCAGAAACACTGAAAATTCCATGCTTCCTCAAAACAACGGAGCTCAGTATTGATGCTTTCAGTGTGCCACAAATTTCGCTTCGGCCACCTGTATTTGATAATGAATTTAAGTGATAGAAACCGACCTATTAGTATTAAAAATGGGATGTTAACAAAATTAACAGCTGTCAGTCCTGACCCTGCAAATAATATACGTGGGTACTCGTTTTAAAGTTTGCGAATGAACACGTTTCCAATGTCTTCCTTTGTGCCAATTAGAAACACTTCGGTTTTGATGGGCTATGATTCTATCGGTCTTCATCAACAGATTAGAAAAAGGGATTTTACCACACAAATTTTCATAACATTAACTTCAATTGCTTCATAATTATAGTCAATGTAGTGCGTTTAAGACAATAACATAATAAAAATATTCTTAAGAACATTAGGTGAATAATGTCATAGAATCACATAAAAAAGCCAAGCTCTCTTGAGTTTCTAAGAACTCCCAATTTTCAAGATCAATCCATAAATTCAACGTTTTTTCGTTTGCGTGTTTGTTTTGTTTTGTTTTTTTTTGTTTCATTCTCAGGGGAAACTCCTTACAAGTTTAATTGAAGCGTCAATAATTGACGAAAAGAAAATTCTCACAAAAATATGGTAATAAAAATAGATCTTATGTACCGAAAGTCCCGCTAACGAAATCCTGCGGATAATGGTAATCGGTGTGTAGGAGCAGACAGGCTAGCGTAACCTTATCCGCCAAAAAAAAAAAAAACGCTCGCACAGTTAGCTTTCATTTTCCAAAAACACGAATTCTTTATTAAGACTGTATCTTGAAATATGTCTGAAATTATAAAATATGCCACGTTCTTGGATATATTGTGAGTCTCTCGTTCTAATTCGACGAAATGAATAAGAGAAACTCCTTTTTGAATTTAGAATATTATGTTTGAAGTTGTTAAGCTGTACCTCCCACTTCACTACAGCGAGCAAAATATTTTCTCGTTTGCCCCTCCTACTTACTCGAAAGAATACCGGAACGCAATAATTTGAAGTCCTAAGTTATTAGCCACTTCATCTTCCCCGACATTTATTAACGTCAAAATTGATTAATGACGAGTTCTAATAAGCTCTTTAGTTTGAACAAACAATAGATCTCCCGTAGATGGTGGATATTTAACAACAAAAAAATTACATAAATTTTCTGAGCAACGTACGACCTATATCTCGATACATCAGAATTGAATAAAGATTGTCGAAGAAGAACCCCTGAATGTTGTTTTAAACGCCATTTTCATCTTAAAGATAATAGCAACTGATGTTTGCAAAAGGTGTACCGTAATTTATGATTGGATTCATCCAAACCATTCAGTATCGGATCTGGCTTCCAAGGCCTTCATTGGAGAACCTTTAAATTATAAGACATTTTCAGGTTTTCCTCCGTTAGATAAAATTGTTGCAGACCTAAGGTTTAAGAGACATGTGGGCCAACATTTGGTTCCCGACTTATTTTTCTGAGGGGAAGCCATGTAAATCAACTTCCATATTTTTTCGAGGTTCTTCTTGTTCAAAATCATCACTTTTGCCATAATATGAACGGAATTCAAACGAGCTGCATATTGGTCTAGGTTGAGGGATAGGAGAAAACAATCTGTGAAAGGAACTCTTTCTAATTACAGAAAAAAACAACTGTAATTTTTGGCAAGTTAGATAACTCAAATGAAGAAGATTTTTGTCATCAACTCTATTTTTCTTTACCGTAAATTGAACCCAAACAGCGGGCTTCGTCACTGCATTAATACCTCTCTCATCACTTTATGGAATTTCCTGTAGTTTCGAGTTTCACAATTTGTGACGGGCTTGGAACCGCCCGCATTGACTTTTTATAATTTGACACTTTTCTCTATTTACGGTAATGATGGAACTACAATTTCTAGAGAAGTAAACCCTTCTAGGAAACTAAAATTAAGGACATTGATCTTGTTTATTTCAAATAGCGTGCTGTTATTTCGCCAAAAGTTTGTTATATCCACATTTGAAAGCTCGGTATTTATCATTTTATACCCTCAAATATTCAATGTTCTTTGGTGCCCAGCTTTAGTGTCATTGAGCCAAACGTGTTATCTTTTATTACTGTCTGGTAGGTATGGTTACGATAGAAACTGTTGGTTTCAAGCAAGATGAATATTAATATTAGAAATGAACTGCTTTCTTCCTTTTTGGGCTCTTTTTACCAGAAGCTAGACTCGTAAAATAATGCTAGGTAAAAAATTTAACCTAATGCAACGGATTGACTGGAGTCACGCGTCTTGGACTATAAATTGTTATCATTAATTCCTTGAAAGTGTTGTCTGTGGTCAGGTGCCAAAGGCGTTATAATTATATGATGACTGATCCCCGTAAAGTCCTATTGTGCTCCTTCTGCATTACATTAGCGAGTTCAGTCGAAGGAGGTAATTAAGTCTCCTACACGGTCCAAGTTTCTAAGGAAAATGAGGGCGATACACTAAGGTATCCTTCAAAGAAGATCATCCTTGGTCAAAGTGTATGAGATATTAAGCACCTGAATGATCGATTGCACGGATTTACATATATATATATGACAAAGTCAAGCACCAGTTTCAATAAACAGTTGCTTGACTATTGAGGGTTTATTAAAGAAATGTATTAGTGAAGAAGTTCCCCGTGGCTTTTTTCTTCGAACGGTTATCGTGAACAGAGGAAATTCATGCGAATTGAAGCCGAAAAAAAACGTTCTTGTCTTGCGTCAATGGGCAGATTTATTTCAGTTTTCGAAGTTTCGAAACGTACAAACCCAGAATAACAATTTAAAATTTTTACTTTTGTAAGCCAACGTAGGTTGTTAAAATTTGCTTAGCCATAGTGATATAATCATCTCTATATTTCCGTTAGTTGTTTTCTTAAAACAACTCCTTTATCTGTCATCGTTTTTTGTCATTCATTTGTTGTTTCTTATTTCGAAAAAAACGTCCGCCTACATCATTTTTCAGAAGTTGAAAAATATTGATTACAGCTACATCCTTTTAAAAGCACTGAATAATATAAACTTGAATAATTTCAGTCTAGGAGATCCTTGCTGTGAGATTAATTTTGGAAAAAAAAAGTTTGAAAATTGCACGAAGCTTCCGTGCAAAAGTTTTTTAAGGATCATCTCAATCAAGCTATTTGTTATTTGGCAAGTTTAAAAGCCTACACTTCAAAAATTAACTCTCGGAAGACTTTTTTCGATTCCACAAAACCCACGCTACCCTTTTTTATAAACAATGTCTTAGAACCAGAAAGAGTGGTATGTTCCAAATGCCAGCATCGTTCGTCTATAAAAATGACTTCGCTTAAGTTGGCTAATTTTGGCCAATTAAGTTGGCCAATTTTTCTTCCATGAAAATTAGCGAATTCCCGTCTGCGAAACAACAACGAAATGTTTTTGATAGAATTGATTACCCGTCCATGTAAATATGAGCTGAGCGTTAGGATTGAAGTGGTTTTGAATGAAGCAATTCTTAACCGTAGCAGTTCTTTTTTTTTTTGTAACAAAATACTTCTGCAAATTTCTAATTTGGCGCATTATAATAACACACCCTTGCTAAATACCATTGATGTCTACCAAATAAGTTTACAAGACTAAGGTTCCTTCCCTTTAAAATCACGCTTGTTAGGCTCAAGTTTTTAGTCTTGTCATACGACACCTTATAAGCTCAGTGCATCAACTGTTGTCAACCATCGAAATAAAAACAAAGTATGATGGGAAATAAGATAAGACGGGGATAGAAAACGATTCGTAGTTTTCGTTTAAGACAACAACATTATAAACATATACTTAAGAACATTAGGTGAACATGCCTAGATAATGCAGTCACATAAAAAGCCAAGTTCACGAATTCTTTATTAGGACTGTACCTTGAAATATGTCTGAAATTATAAAATATGCCACGTTCTTGGATAGATTGTGAGTCTCTTGTTCTAATTCGACGAAATTAATAAGAGAAGCTCTTTTTTGAATTTCGAATATCGTGTTTGTAGTTGTTAAGCTGTACCACCCACTTCACTACATCGAACAAAATATTATCGTTTTGCCCTCCTAATTATTCGAAATAATACAGGAACGCACAAACCTAAAATAACTTTAAGTCCAAATTGATAAGTGACTTTATCTTCCCTCACATTCATTAACGTCAAAATCAATATATGATGAGTTCTAATAAGCTCTTTAGATTGAACAAACAGAAAATCTCTCGTAAACGCCTGATCTTAAAATACAGGAATTCAATAAATTTGCCTCGATGCGTCAGGACTGTATGAAGATTGTCGATGGCTCATTATAATAACACACCCTTGCTAAATACCACTAATGTCAACAAAACAAGTTTACAAGACTAAGGTTCCTTCCCTTAAAAATCATGTTAATTGAGTTCAGGATTTTAGCTTTGTCACAATGACCAGTTATAAGCTCAGAGCATCAACTATAGTGAATCAGCAAATAAAAATAAAGAGTGATGGGAAATAACACGAGCTGAAATGAATTATTTTTAAACAGAAATAACACCACCTGCATTCGATAATGGTTAAGTAATAGATATCGACCCTTTTGTATTGAATATGGGATGTTAACAAAATTAATAACAGTCAGTCCAGACCCATTGAAATGATTGAAGCAAATAAAATACGTGGGCACGCGTTTGGGATATATGGAAAGACTTTGGATTTAGCGAGCTACAATTCTATCGGTGTTTACCTTCAGATTAGACTCAGGGATTTTGCCACACAAATTTCCATGACTATAGTCAATGGAGTGCGTTTAAGGAAATAACCTTATATACATATTCTTGAGAACATTAGATAAACAAACTCCGTTACTGCAGTCACATAAAAAGTCAAGTTCTTTCGAGTTTCTGAGAAACAACACCTTCAAATTTACAAGATCGATCCATGGATTCAGCGTTTCGGTTTTTTTTTTCTTTGTTTTTTTTTTTCTTTCTTTCTTTGTTTTTTTTTTTAATTATCAGGGGAAAACACCTCATAAAATTGATCGAAGCGCCTCTAAGGCCTTCATTGAATACCTTCTTAATTATAAAACATTTTCAGGTTTCCTTCGTTAGAGAAAACTGCTGCAGACGTAACGGAACCTGTGAGCCAACAATTAGTTCCCGACTCATTTTTCTGATTAGGAGACATGAAAACCAACTTCCATATTTTTTAAGGTTCTTCTGTTTTAAAGTCATCAATTTTTGGAGGATTAGACAAAACCATTTTTGAAAGGAAATCTTCATAAGTACAGAGAGAAAAAACATCCATAGTTTTTGACAAGTTGGATATTTCAAATGAAAGAGATTTTTGTCGTCAACTCTATATTTTTTTTTACTGTAATTTGAACTCAAACAGCGGGCTTCGTCACAACATTAAATCCTCCCTCACCGCTCTTTGGAATTTCCTTTCGTTTCCAGTTTCACAATTTGTGACGAGCTTGGAACTGCCAGCACTGACTTTTTATAATTTAGCACTTTTTCTCTATTTACGGTAACGATGGAACCACAATTTCGAGAAGGGGTGTAATTATAAACTTAAAGAAATATCACTGAGAAAAGGTTTGAAAAGGAATCCCGTTGTATGAAACTGAAAATTAAGGATAACGATCTAGTTTATTTCAAATAGCTGAAGATGTTTTCTCGCCAAATGTTTTTTATACCCACATTTGGAAGCTCGATAAATTTCACTTTCGCTTGATTTCAAGTACACAGAAATAGAGGAGTCAAGAGTGGATATTAAATTTGTATCATGGAATGAAAGCCAAACTCAAGTTATCCATGCATTAAGTATGATCATTTCTTACCTTCAAAGATCCAACGGTCTGTGGTGCCCAACTTTAGTGTTATTGAGCCAAATGCGTATTCTTTTATCGCTGTCTGTAGCTATGGTTACGATAGAAACTGTTGGTTTCAAGCCAAGAGGATCATTTATATTAGAAATGAACTTCCCTCTTCCTGTTTAGGCTCTTTGCACAAAAAGCTAAACTGCTAAAATAATACCAGGTGAAAAATTTAACCTAATGCAACGGATTGATTTGGAGTAATGCTTCTTGGACTATGAATTGTTATTATTAATTCCTTGAAAGTGTCCCCTGTGGTCGGGTGCCAAAGGTGTTATAATTATATAATTACTGACCCCCGTAAAACCTTATTGTGCTCCTTCTGCATTATATTAACGACTTCAGTCCAAGAAGGTTATTAGGTCTCCAGTACGGTCCAATTTTCGAAGGAAAATGAAGGCGAGTTTTTTTAGATATTAACCACCTAAATGATCAAATGCACGAAATGACATATATATATGACAAAGTCAAGCACCAGTTTCAGTAAACATGTGCTTGACTATTGAGTGTTTATCAAAAGAATGTAAAGCTGAAGAGGTTCCCTGTGGCTTTTTTCTTCGAACAGTTATCGTAAACAGAGGAAATTCATGCGAATTGAAGCTGAAAAAAAAACATTCTTGTCTTGCGTTAATAAACAGATTTATACCAGTTTTCGAACGTTTTCTTAGCGTACAAGTCTAGAATGACATTTTAAAAGTTTTACTTTTGCTAGTCAACGTAGGTTGTTAGAATCGCTTAGCTATGGTAAATATAATGAACTAACATAGTATCACAACCTTTCTATATACCATCAATGTCTTCAAAACAAGTTTACAAGACTACGGTTCCTTCCTTTAAAAATCATGTTTGTTGAGTTCAAGATTTAAGTTTTGTCATAACGACCCGTTATAAGCCTAGTGCATCAACTGTTGTGAATAAGCAAAATCAAAATAAAGAGTGATGGGAAATAACACGGGCGGAAATAAATTAGTTTTAAACAGAAATAACACCACCTGCATTCAATAATGGATTAAGTGATAGAAACCGACCTTTTTGCATTGAAAATGGGATGTTAACAAAGTAAATAACAGTCAGTTCAGTGCCATTGAAATGATTGACGCAAATAAAATACGTGGGCACGCGTTTTAATTTCTGCTCATAAACGCATTTGTGATGTTTTCCGTTTTGCTTTAAAGGAAGACTGGATTTGGCGCGCTATGAGTCTTTTGGTGTTAACCTACAGATTATACTCAGGGATTTTGCCACACAAATTGCCATTGCAGAAGAAACAGTAAATATTCCTTATCATTTAACATAGTAAATGTTTTGTTCAAGATGACAGACGAGGCAGATATACCGAAGCTATTAATGTCTTTCTATGAGACACAAAATTACTTCATTAATAAATTATCTGTTATGTTTTTTCCAGCTTGCCTTATTCTTCGGTGGGAAACGCGAATTTGTTTTGCTTTGTTTTGTTTTTACATTTCCAGTTAAAGAAATTTAAAATGAAAAAAAAAAAAAATATATATATATATATACACACATATACATATTTTAAGAGGAAAAAAGGACGCAACTACATTTTCCCGACACGCCTGTTTCGTGAATCGCTTCACTCTTCAGGGGTTTAATCCCTGAAGTTTAAGCCCCTGAAGAGTGAAGCGATTCACGAAACAGGCCTGTCGGGAAAATGTAGTTGCGGCCTTTTTTCCTCTTAAAACATTTCTTCCGCTCTGCTTCAACGTATTTAGCACTGTTCCACGCGAAAATCGACTTGCAGACTCCCTACATATATATACATATATATAGTATTGCTTGAGGAATACTTTCGGTCACGGTTTTTAAATAACTGATTGACCGACGTTGCAAATTTTTTTCTAAAGCTTTTCGGAAAAAGAGAGAATCTGTACAACCCGAAATGCCATTTGTCGATCTCGAAGAGATCTATAAATCTCATGTCAAACGCTCGGTTTGCGCTTGCTCAGAATACTTAGAAATTGCGTGCGGTCACGGTACTCAAATAACTAAATGATTGGCAGTCGTTCATGAGTTTTCTTAAAATTCAAGATCTAATCAAGAAATCAAGAAAACCTATACAATCCAAACTATTATAAATCGACGAGTAACTGATGAGCGATCCCGAGAAGATTTGTAAATCTCACTTCTGACGCTCGGTTTAAGCTGGGCTTCTTTAGATGTTTAAGAGATACACGTCAGAAAGAAACTAAGCGGTAGATGGGTTGACACCAAAACACTCCCTACCATTAGGTTGCCACAGCCGTCGGTTTTTAAAAATCGCTGACCGACGTAAATTGGACGTAAATTGGTAGTACCAATTAAATTTACAATTTTACGAGCGCATCCTGATAATGATCTCAAACCTCACAGCAATCCTCTCTACCCATAAATTAAGCAGGTCACATACAGTGTACCCGAATTGATAATTCCTTAAGATAGCCTGGAAAAAGGGTTAAATTTCTTGGAAACCCAACATCAACTTATTTTACCGATCTAACATCTTTCAAATCCTTAAAATGTACCAAAAAATCTCAGAGGTAAAAAAAGGTTAAATATAGAAGAAAAAGAAAATGTATGACTTAATTCACAACCCAACTTCAACGTGTATAACAAAGGAAAGAATATAGCTAGCGGTCTCTAATCTGATCACTGTTTTAAACGATGTACATAATCAATATCAAAAAGGAAAGTGTTACCATTTTTGATCTTGAATCTTGAAGATGGCCAAGACAAAATGAACAACTTCATATTAACTTGAAATTTGACTTTTCCCTTACTTCTTTTATTGATGTAAATTTTCTCCGACTTAAAGAGGTGATTTATTTTTTCCGTGAATTTTCCTGCCCTGTAGTAGCCATACCTAACATTATCGTGCTAGAAAAGAAACATTATTTCCTTTTGAAATAGCCTCTTGTTGACCTCGGGCACAACAGACAGGAGCTATTTATCCATATCCTAGTTCGGCTGTCTATCTTCTTCTATCTATCTTCTTCGAAATGTTCAAAACACACTTTGGTACTAGATGTTACTCTTAAGTTGTTATTGTTTTTTTTTCTTCCTAGATTCCATGTCTGTTTTAAAAGGAAGTGAAAAAAAAAAACCATCTCATTTAGAAATCGAGACGAGGCGAAGACTATTTACTCATGCAGGTCAAACCATAAATTAATCCGATTAGTGGTTGAAGATTATAACATGGATGTATAACTTCTGAGCATATTAGCATAAACGAAAACTATGTTAATTTTATTATTCTAGCATTATTAAAGAAAATGCAAATCCGAATTTGTGTAAATACTGAGGCAGTTACAGGCGCCGCCGTAATAGTCGACCATTCCTAACGTTTCACAATTAATTTGTTATGGCCGCGACAGTTGTTTACCCATTTCGCACGTGACCAATCTTCGGAGTATGAAGCTAGAAAGGCCTATTCTGGTAGCAACCATGTCCTACAAAATAATTATTACGAATGAGAATTATTTTAATACAAAAATTCCAAGCACTTATAGTTGCACAAACTGACAGAACGCTATCAGTGGATAACATCTACCGAAGTAATAATAACAACCGGTAAGATGAAGGGGGGACTACGTAAAATCCATCAAATACGTGATCCTGCAGATAGGTCGAATCTTTCACTTCAAATTCATTTTGTGACACAGTAGCACGAGTTACAGTTTCTCAGCGGAGCAAGTTTGTAGATAAAGTAGCATCCACAGTTTTCACGAAAATCTTTTTTGAGTATTTGCAAAGTAGGGTCTTAGATAGACGATTACTAAAGCAGAACTTCAATCTACGACCCTTGAATCGTTTTGCTTCACATTTAGTCTGTACCACAATAGCGTGATTCACAATGACGTGGTTGATGAAGTTTGTAGATGAAGTAGGATCCACAGTTTTTTACAGGAATGTTTTCAAAGAACTTGCAACCTGTGGGACGACCACTAAAGCAGACCTTCATGTAAACTTCACCATCTTCCTCTGTAGGATGAGCACCATCCAACCAACCTGACCAGGTTGTACCACATCTGTTTACTTGTACACGCATTGATGACATTTTTGTTCCTGCAGCTCCCACAAAACGATACCATCCATCAAGATTTCTGTCACATAATATTGCTCCAGATAGCGGTGTAATATAATCACTTCTTCTATTGGCATCACTCAGCTCTTTATAAGAATTACATGGATCGGCTACAAAGTTAAAGATGATTATAGTTATAAAAATCAATGGTCAATTGATCTGTTCTTCTGTCTCAATATTCTAGTAGTTCACCGACCAAAACTTGAACTGCCATTTTACAAGAACAACTGATAACTATTAGGCATTAAATAAGAGGTCAGGAAGTACTTGTGAGGGAAATTTCAGTCAACGACGTGGAAAAATCTACATAGGTTATCACATGGTATTAACTACATATAGCAGTGTATAAATTCGTGTTTCCTTTTTCTTCAAAAACGCACCAAAGAACAACTTTAGCCTAAAGCTGTTCTTTGGTGCATTTTAGCTGCTTATGTTATTTAAATGTAGCCAAGCAACAATACGGTCACTTATGGCCACCTGAGCGATTACGGTTTAAACAGTCTGACAAAATACCGAACGTAATTGATCAAATGGTGGATACCAAACGTACCTTCGCAGTTAAAACCATCCCCAACGTAATTAGTCTTACAGGAACAGTTGAATGAGCCCTCGGTATTAATGCAAGAGGCATTTGGATGGCATTTGTTTATTTTAACAGTACGAGCTTCACTGCATTCGTCAACGTCTGAAAGAGAAAATACATATTAAGTCAAAATCAAACAACGAATGTCACTAGTAGATAAAGGGAACTAAACGTCACAAACTTTGATACTCGTAGTCTTTTAACACCAATATCTATAATGAAATGAGCAGAATGCTACCACAAAAACTTGAAGAAATAAATATCAGCCATTTATCCATCTGAGTAGCAAAACAATGAAAATAATTTCAGGATCTAATTGGGGAGCAAAAAAATTCATTGTTAGGTGAAATAATTCCTTTTTGCTGTTGATTAGAGAGATCCATTTTGAACCTTGAAAATGCATGCTGCGTCATAGTGCAAAATAATGTATTTGATGCAAAATGTGTTTTTATATAGCTATAATTTTTTTCCCAAACAGCGCGCCCCACCATTGGTTTCGTTGGTTTTCCACAAAATGTGACCCTCCACGGGGTTTCAGGAAATAAGATCAACGCACGCATACGGCATGTTATAACACGCTCGCACGCTAATGGCAGAACACACTTATCGTGAAAATATGCGCATAAAAACAATTGATTTTGGAAAGCGTGTTGTAGCCATTGTTCATGTCTGGCTAACACGGTACAGCTTTGTTTCTATAACACGCAAGATTTTAATTTTTTTTTTTACTTGTTTAATTTTTTTTTTTTTTTTAACACGTTAAGTTCCTTTGTTTCCTTAACACGCCAGCTTATCTTATACACCCCAGTTTTCACTTTGTTACATGTGTTTGCCAGCTTCTTAATTGAGAGAATGGTGTTTGTGAAGTATACTACTTACAGAATATAAGCGAAAATAAAGAAGATCTGTCCTATCCAACAATTGTAATAAAAAAAGAAACATTCACGTAAAATCACGGCTCTTTCTCCTCAGGATTTTCACAAGGAATTCAATGAGCACGACGTGTTTCACAAGGTCCAAAGGAGCTCAGTTTGAACACACGAATTACTTTCTTAAAACTTAACTCTTATCTTGTAAGCTGTTAATCCTTATCGCTTCGCGCAGTTAATAAGCCCAGATTTCCCGCTCCATGTACAAATCGAAAGCAACTTCAACTTTAAGAAGCGTGTCATAAAATTGGCACGGTCACTGTGTTGTTTCGTGCAAAGTTGCGATTAAGATCTTAACACGCTCCTTTGCTTCTATCGTGCGAAGCGAGACAATGGCTGCTAAGTCAATGAGGCAAGTAACTAACACGCAGCTCACGTGTTCAAGCCAATTCTTTTGAATTAGCGTGCGAGAGTACAGTGTGCGTGCGTTCACCTTATCACCTAAAATCCCGTGGTGGGCCACAAATTTAACAATTACTATTTTACCGTCAAAAGTCTCTCAGTGGGCAGCATAACAAAACTCTATAATGTTAAAGTGTACAGTGTCACCCACGAATTTTGACCAATGATTGCCGACTGGCGAATGCCAGTACAATATAAAAAACCGATTACACTTAATTAATACCCCTAGTATTTAAAACTAATCTTAATTATTTAACAAAATGCAAGATTTTCCGTTAAAAAATCGGATATCAACGACAGCTTGAAAAATCCGCCATTACGATGGTAAGATACAATAAAAATATTGCCACGCCCTCATTTTGGAGCATGATTAATTATTAATTACATTTTATATATCTCTTTTTGGTTACACAGAAGTTCACTGTATTTAAACGGGCAGTCAATACGAATTACGTCACCGATTGTAATATTTTGTTTGAATACATACTGTAAATACCCTGAATTTTTCTTTCCATATATATATATGGAGCATGATTATTAATTACATTTTAATGTTTTTTTTGGTTACACAGGAGTTTACTATATTTTAACGGGCAGTCAATACGAATGACGTCACCGATTGTAAAATTTTGTTTGAATACATACTGTAAATACACTGAATTTTTCTTTCCATCTTCATTTTGCTGTTTAACGCATTCGTTTTATGAAATTTTACGAAGCCAAGCACTTCAAAAGTTAAAGTCGGGTGACTGCCCTTCCCTACATAACAAAAATTAAATCTTGGCTTTCCATGGTATCAAAAATCAACGACAGCAACAAAAGCAAACAAAACATTATATATAATTGTCGAAAAGAATCTGGAGGCTATTGAGATTATTGACTGTACCTGTACAATTGTGTCCATCTCCAGTATATCCAGGTTTGCATGTGCAAACGTGTGATCCGTGTGTGTTGTTACAAGTGGCATTTGCGTGACATTTGCCTGGGTATGTTTTGCATTCGTCAATATCTGTCAAAAAAAAGGGAGAAAGGGAAAGAATGAAAAATGGGATTTGGTTTTTATTCAAGAGCAATATATGTACACGTATGAAAAAAGCGGAGAACTTGTTTGCAATTTCCTGGTTTCATGTGGTTCTCGGGTTGGACCTGTAAATCAATCCGTTATTTTTTTTTAATTTGTTCACGTTGGTACAGCAAGTAACACCGAAAGCATACACAATAAACGGCTCTTATTTTGCCGTAGGAGCTCAGAAGTCGATAAATAAGCAACGAAAGAAATAACGGACAAAAAGAAATCATCCATGACCACATTTCCGTGCTATTCCAAATGTCATGTTGTTGTATTTGATTCTGGCTTACCTTATCATTATTTTAGGAATCTCATTAATGCTGAAGGAAGCCTATCAAATTCACCTGTACAATTACGTCCATTTCCAGTATATCCAGGGTGGCATTCACATACATGTGATCCAATGGTATTTAAGCATCTAGCGTTCACGTGGCAAGAGTGATTTCCTTTACATTCGTCAATATCTGAGAAACCAAAGACAAAATAAAAACGAGCATTAGCCATTACCGTGTTTCAGATTACATTCAATGTGAGTCGTCAAATTCATGTGACAACATAAATGCGAGATTGCCTTAAAAGGTGAAGTAAATTATTATCACCGCATCTCTCAGTTAATAAATTTAGGTTGGGAAGCTGCCTCAGCTGTTACAAAAATTAAATCAGAGCTTCCCACGATATCAGAGGAACTGGACAAAGAAACAGACCAAATAAGAATTCCTTATAATAGTAATCAAGTCTCTAACGACTTCTGAGACTATTGGCTGTACATGTATAATTCGTTCCATCTCCAGTATATCTAGGTTTGCACGTGCACACGTACGATTCGTTTGTGTTATTACACATAGCGTGCACATCGCATTTGCCAGGGGTTTTGCATTCGAAAAATAACTAAAAGAACCGAGAAAAAAGACGAAAACGCAATATCACCCGATCACAAACATTTCGGTTTCTATCAAAGAGCTACATGCGATTCGCAATTTGCAAAACCCTTAATTTATTTGCAGTTTTATTTTTGTAAGTGGTTCTCTGGTGAGATCTTTCAATCAAACAATTTTTTTCCTAGCAATTACCATACGAACTACGACAAGTACACGACCATTATACGGACTAATCTTACTTTTCCATGGAGAGGCGTCGAACGTTCAAGGTTAAGAAACTATATATATATTAAAATATACAAAAGAGCGAGCGAAGGAAACAATGCACACACTCATTAAAATGTAATAAGAAATTTTCTTTTGGAAAGATTCTGCACCTTATACAAAGAAATGAACTCACGCCACTTTAAACAACTAAAGGAGAGTTGTCATACCAGCATCGAAAATCAGAAAAAATCCCTCATATATGTCATTTCAAGTGTTGACTTAGACTCCTACCCTTTTCACAATGTTCTCCCTCGAATCCAGGAGGACACAAGCATTTATATCCCTTGAGTGTAAATCCAGACTGGCAAGTTGCGTTATTTTGGCAGTTGGAACTCTTGTCACAAGCGTTCTGGAGGAGAAAAAAAAAAGAAAGAAAAAGAAGTAACGGTAAAATTTCCACACAGCCCCATACAAGTGTAATACAAATCTGTTTTCCCAATGGAAATGTATTGTTTTTGTCATTGTTTTCTCTATTCAAGAGCTGAATACATAATGAAGTATGGGGCTCTGCGGAAATTTTACCGAAATAACGAAAGGAAGATGGAGGGATTGGCTGAAAGAAGAAACTAAATACCGAATTATCGAGTGCACGCAAATTTGCATAAACATTAATTATTGTTTTTATATAATCCCTAGGTGACAATTTCGAAAAATCGATTTGTAACTCACCATCGAGCCACGATAATAAAAATTGTCATCAGTTGTCAAGTCACTGTCATATTTCAGATGCGTGGCGTTATTTACTTCACAGATATGAACTTGTTCATTATTGTCAGGATCTTTTTTGAAGTTAAGACTGACACAGTTGTCGTTCAGGTAGCAAAAGAGTTCACAATCATCCAAGTTCTTGACGTGTCTCTTTTGAATGGTGTGTTTAACCAAACGTCTTTCAGCGTAGAAGTAGTAGTCCGGGAACACCATTATGCGCTCTCGCTCTAAAATAGACAAATTGAAACATGATTTTAAGGCATACTTTTACGTCGAAAAAAATTAAATTGAGTAAAATGTTCTAAGAACAAATCCCTTAGTACAAAATTCTCAGATTTCAGCAAACTATCGGGGCAAATACGTCGAGAACGTAATTCAAACAAAGCATTTGATGAGAAGAACACTCATTAGTCAAATGTGTCTTAAAACTTTGTAAATTGCGTCGCTTTTTTTGTGATTAAAAACAATAACTTAGAACTACCTTTATTTAAGAGTTTCAAGAGATTAAATTGATTGAGATTGAAGTGGTTTTGAATGAAGCAATTCTTCATGGTAGCAGTTCTGAGTTCCTTTTTGTAACAACTGCAAATTTTCGATATGGTCAATCATAATACCACCCCTTTGTTAACTACTTTTAATATCTACAAAAGAAGTTCAAAGACTGAGGTTCCTTCCTTTAAAAATCATGTTTGTTGAGTTCAGGTTTTAGTTTTATCATAGCGACACTTTATAAGCTCAGTGCATCAACTTTTGTGAATCAACGGAATAAAAATAAAGACTGGTAGAAAATAAGATAACATGGGCTGAAGTATGAATATAGGGATAGAAAGTGATTCGCATTTTCCAACTCACCTTTACCAAACGTCAAATAAGTCATCGATGAAGTCCAGACTGCGAATATTAGAAAGGCTGAAAATTCCATGCTTTCTCGAGTCAACGGAGCTCAATATTCACGCTTTTAGTATGTCACCAAGTTCATGTCAACCACCTACATTTTGTAATAGAAACTGACCTATTAGTATTGAAAATGGGATGTTAACAAAATAAACACCTGTCAGTCCTGCCCATGCAGATAACATACGTGGGTACGCGTTTAAAGTCTGCGAATGAAAACGTTTTCCATGTCTTCCTTTGTACGATTCTATCGGTTTTCATCAACAGATTAGAAAAAGGGATTTTGCCACACAACTTTCCATAACATTAACTTCAATTGCTTTATAAGTACAGTCAATGGAGTGCATTTAGGACACTAACATTATAAACATATTCTTAAGAACATTAGGTGAAAATACTCCGATAGTGCAGTTACATAAAAAGCCAAGTTCCATCGAATTTCTCAGAAACAACACCTTCAAAATTTCAAGATCGATCCATAGATTCAGTATTTTCTTTTTTTCAATTTTTAATTGAAGCGTCAATAATTGATAAAAAGAAAATTATCACAAAAATATGGCAATAAAAATAGATCTTATGTACCGACAGTCTCGCTCACAAAATCTTGCGGATAATGGTAGTCGATGTGTTGGACCAGACAAGTTGGCGTAACCTTATTCGCCGAAAAAGAAGTTAGCCCTGCACTTGCACAGTTCGCTTTCATTTTCCAAAAACATGAATCCTGTATTTTATTTAATTCGACGAAGTGAATAAGGGAAACTCCGTTCTGAATTTCGAATATCATGTTTGTAGTTGTTAAGCTGTACCACCCATTTCACTACGTCGAGCAAAATATTTTCTGGTTTGGCCCTCCTACTTAGTCCAAATAATACAGTAACGCAATAATTTAAATATGTTTTTCCTATTTGAGGTCCTAAGTAATAAGTCATTTTATCTTCCCTCACTTTCATTGACATTAAAATTAATCAATGATGAGTTCTAATAAGCTCTTTAGTTTGAACAAACAGGAAATATCCCATAAACGCTGGATGTTAAACGACAGAAATTCCATAAATTTACCCAGCGACTTTCGACCTATGTCTCGATACATCAGGATTGAATAAAAAGTGTCGTGGCAGAACTCATCAGGCACCTTATAATAATTGAGCAAGATCCAGTGAAGACAGTTGCTATAATTAATCCAGAGCCTCAGTGAGACGACGCTCTGAATGTTGTTTTAAGCGCCACCTCCATCTCATGGATAATAGCAAATTGATATTAGGAAAAAGTGTGCCGTAATTTATGATTGGATTCAGCCAAACTATCCAGTATCGGATCTGCCTTCCAAGGCCTTCATTCACATATTCAGATTTTCCTCTGTTAGATAAAATTGGTGTAGACTTAAGGTTAATGAGACCTGTGAGCCAAAATTTGGTTCCCAACTCATTTTTTTTGATGGGGAGTCATGGAAATCAGCTTCGGTATTTTTTCAAGGTTCTTCTATTTCAAAATCATAACTTTTGTCATAATATGAACGGAATTCAAACGAGCTGCATGTCAGTCTAAGTTGAGGGATAGGCAAAACAATATGTGAAAGGAAATCTTTATAAGTACAGAAAAAACAACCGTAATTTTTGGCAAGTTAGACGTTTCAAATGAAGAAGATCTTTGTCATCACCTCTATTTTTCTTTCGTGTAGATTGAACCCAATCAGCGACCTTCGCTACTGCATTAATTCCTCTCTCATCGCTCTTTGGAATTTCCTGTCGTTTCCAGTTTCGCAGTTTGTAACGAGCTTGGAACGGCCAGCACTGACTTTTTCATAATTTGGCACTTTTCTCTATTTACGGTAATGATGGAACTACGGTTTCAAAAAGGGGTGTAATTTAAACTTAAAGAAATATCACTGAGAAAAGATTCAAAAAGGAATCCCGTTGAGTTCTAATAAGCTCTTTAGTTTGAATAAACAATAAATCTCCCGTAAACGGTGGATGTTAAACTACAGAAATCCCATCATTTTTTTGGAGAAACTTACAACCTATGTCTCCATACATTAGGATTGCATAAAAAGTGTCGAGGCAGAACCCATCAGATATCTTATATTGATTGAGCATGATCCAGTGAAGACAGCCGCTATACTTAATCCCGGGCCTTAATGAGACGAAATTCTGAATGTTGTTGTTAATCGCAACCTTGATCTTAAGGATAATAGCAAATTGATATTTAGAAAGGGTGTGCCGTAATTTAGGATCGGATTCAGCCAAACCAAACCATTTGACTTCCAAGGCGCTCATTGGAATATCTTTTAAACTATAATTGATAATAGATAAAATTGCTGCAGACTTAAGGTAAGCGAGACCTGCAGGTCAACATTTAGTTCCCGACTCATCACTATTGGGAGCCTTGCAAATTAACTTCCATATTTTTCAAGGTTCTTCTATTTCAAATCATCACATCTGTCATAATATGAACGGGATTCAAACGAGCTGCATATCAGTTTAATATGGGGACAGGACAGAACAATTTGTGAAAGGAAATCTTTATAAGCACAGAAAAAAATCCCATAATTTTTGGGAAGTTGTACATTTCAAATGAAGGAGATTTTTGTCATCAACTCTATTTTTCTTTACCGCAAATTGAACCCAAACAGCGGGCTTTGTCACTGTTTTAAATCTTCTGTCTTCGCTCTATGGAATTTCCCGTCGTTTCGAGTTTCACAATTTGTGACGAGCTTGGAACCGCCAGCACTGACTTTTTATAATTTGGCACTTTTCTCTATTTACGTTAATGATGGAACTACAATTTCGAGAAGTAGTGTCATTATAAACATAAAACAAATATCGCTGAGTAAAGGTTCAAGAAGTAAACACGTTGTAGAAAGCTAAAAATTAAGGATAATGATCTTGTTTATTTCGAATACCTGAAGCTGTTTTTTCGCCAAAAGTTTGTTATACCCACATTTGGAAGCTCGGTAAAATTCATTTTCTTTTTATTTCAACCACACAGAAATAGAGGAGTTAAGGATGGATATCAAATCTTGTCATGGGATAAAAGTCAAACTCAAGTTATTCCTTCATTAAGTACAATCATTTCTTACCTTCAAAGATCCAACGTTCTTTGGCGCCCAACTCTAGTGTTATTGAGCCAAACGCGTTTTCTTTTATTACTGTCTGGTAGCTATGGTTACGATAGAAGCTGTTGGTTTCAAGCCAAGATGATCATTAATATTAGAAATGAACTTCCCTCTTCCTGTTTAGGCTTTTCACACACAAAAAAAAAACACACACACACACAAAGGATTTAACCTAATGGAACGGATTGACTGGAGAATGCGTTTTGGACTATAAAATGTTAGTATTAATTCCTTAAAACTGTCGCCTCTTGCGTCGGGTGCAAAAGGCATTATACTTATAGATCCTTTTTGTAATTCATGTCAAACAAACGTAATGCAGATGAATTTGAGAGAAAAAACGATAGACTTCAGTAAGAACTCAAGGGAAGTCCGGCAAAAATGGTTTTGACTTTCAGCAAAGTGTAGCGTAATTTTCGTTTGAAAACTTACTCTAGCCACGGGGAAGTCTTAGACCAAATACTGACGATTCGTGTTGGAAATGATTTTTCTGTCAAAGTTTATATCCATTTTGCGCGAAAGCCGCAATGACCATAATTCACGGACTTCAAGCACACACAACACAAACGATTTGCTCGAACCTCAAGGTCTTTCAGCTACAATACAAATTCAAGTTGACAGTGAGGACAAACAGATTAAACAGAATGCGATGCAAATTTACATTGATATGCCAAATACAGCGAATGTATAGCTAAATATATCTGAGCTTGAAAGTTTTTAATCAGTCATCGACAGTGAAGTTGAAATAGATTAATGGCGCTGCAAATATGACTATTTTTCTTTTTCATGATACGCAGGTTCTTGTAATTTGCTTGCGTTCTTTCAACATTACTCATATTTATTTTGAATTGTCTACTATCTTGTCTTAAGAAAATTTAAATCAATACGTAATAAAAAAAATATATAAGGCTCTAAATTATTGCAAAATTTCCGGCTATTTTTGTCAAATCGTTCGCTCTACTTCCCAGAGCTTTGTCACCACAAGTTAGTCAAAAAGCACGATGTTTTCCGTCCGTAAGATGAAACCATCGCAACAATCTGTACACGAGGAAACATTGAGACGGCTTCGCGCGCTGTTTAGGAGTTTCAAAACATAGTTCAAGCGCACTTTTACCAGAATAAACAATACATATTTTCCTTATCGTTTAACATTGTAAATTTTTTGTTCAAGATGACAGACAAGGCAAATATACCAGAAGCTATTAATGTCTTTCTATGAGACACGAAATTACTTCATTAATAAATTATCTCTTATGTTTTTTCCAGCTTGCCTAATTCTTCGGTGGAAAACGCGAATTTGTTTTGTTTTGTTTTGCTTTTACTTTTCAATTGAAGAAATTTAAAATTAAAAAAATATATATATATATTTATATACATAATCGGTGGAAGGTACTCTAATTTTCAATTTACACTTAAAATTGTTTAAGTTCTCATTACGAGTGATATGCCATTAAAAAATGGCAGAGCAATTTCGAACTTCAATTTAATCAAAGAAATAAAACGCTGGATCAATTGCGTGAGCCACAAATTTAGTTCGTAAGTCTCTATTAAATTGCGATTGTATTAATCCCGCTGCAAGGATGGTTTAGTCTCTAAAAGTGAAAACTCTCAGACAATATTTAAAGCTTTCTTTATGTTTTTGTTTGTTTCTGAGGCGATGAACTGTATATAAATTCATGAAAATGTTCCAGAAAAGAATTGTGAAAGGATATTTCAAGGATAACAGCAAGTTGATATTTGGAAAAGGTGTGCCGTAATTTATGATTGGATTCAGCCACACTATTCAGTATCGGATCTGGCCTCTAAGGCCTTAATTGGAAGACCTTTTAAATTATAAAACATTTTCAGGTTTTCCTCCGCTAGATAAAATTGCTGCAGACTTAGGTTAAAGAGATTTGTGAGCCAACAATTTGTTCCCGACTCATTTTCTGATTGGGAGCTATGCAAATCAACTTCCATACTTTTCAAGGTTCTTCTATTTCAAAATCATCACTTCTTCCATAATACGAACGGAATTCAAACGAGCTGCACATCAGTCTAAGTTTGGGGATAAGACAAAACAATTTGCGAAAGGAAATCTTTATAAGAACAGAAAAATAACTGCCACAGTTTTTGACAAGTTGGATATTTCAAATGAAGAAGATACTTGTCATCAACTCCATTTCTTTTTACTGCAAACTGAACCCAAACAGCGGGCTTCGTCACCGCGTGAAATCCTATCTCATCGCCTTATAGAATTTCCTGTCGTTTGCAGTTTAACAATTTGTGACGAGCTAGGAACCGCACTGACTTTTTATAATTTGGCACTTTTCTCTATTTACGGAAATGATGGAACAACAATTTCGACGAGTGGTGTCATTTCAAACAAAATAATATCGCTGAGAAAAGGTTCAAGAATAAAACCCGTTGTAGGACACTAAAAATTTAGGATGATGATCTTATTTATTTCAAATAGCTGAAGCTGTTTTACCGCCAAAAGTTTGTTATATCCACATTTGAAAGTCAAACTCAAGTTATCCATGCATTAAGTATGATCATTTCCTACTTTCAAAGATCCAACGTTCTTTTGCGCCCAACTTAAGTGTTATTGAGCCAAACGCGTTTTCCTTTCTTACTCTCTGGTAGCTATGGTTACGATAGAAACTGCTGGTTTAAAGCCAAGATGATCATTAATATTTGAAATGAACTTCCCTCTTCCTGTTTGGGCTCTTTGCACCAAAAGCTTAATTGGTAAAATAATACCAGGTAAAAAATTTAACCGAATGGGACGGATTGACTAGAGTAATGCATCTTGGACTATAAAATGTTATTATTCATTCTTTGAAAGTGTCTCCTGTGGTCAGGTGCCAAGGGCGTTATAATCATATAATTACGGACCCCCGTAAAATCCTATTGTGTTCCCTCTGCATTATATTAGCGATTTCTGTCGAAGAAGGTAAATAAGTCTCCAGTACGGTCCAAGTTTCTAAGGAAAATGAGGGCGAGATACTAGGGTTTCCTTCAAAGAAGATCATCCCTGGTCAAGGTTTATGAGATACTAAGCACCTAAATGATCGAATGCACGGAACTGCATATATGTGACAAAGTTAAGCGCTAGTTTCAATAAACAGCTGCTTGACTATTGAGGGTTTTATTGAAGAAATGTATAAGTGAAGAGGCTCCCTGTGGCTTTTTTCTTCGAACGGTTATCGTGAACAGAGGAAATTCATGCGAATTAAAGCCGAAAAAAAACGTTCTTGTCTTGCATTAATGAGCAGATTTATGTGAGTTTGCGAAAGTCTTCGAAACGTACAAACCCAGAATAACATTTTAAAATTTTTACTTTTGCTAGCCAACGTAGATTGGTAGAATTGCTTAGCTATGGTGAACATAATCATCTCTTCATTTCCGTCATTTGTTTTCTTAAAACAACTCATTTATCTGTTCATCGTTTTTAGTGATTTATTTTTTTTTCCATTACGAAAAAATCGTCCACCTACATCATTTTTCTGCTGTTGAAAAATATTGATCACAGCAAAACCGTTTTAAAAACACTGAATAATATATAACTGAATAAATTTCAGTCAATAGTATCCTTGCTGTGAGAGTAATTTTGGAAAAACAAAAAGTTTGAAAAATTCCACGACGCTTCTGTGCAAAAGATTTTTAAAGATCATCTCGATCAAGCTATTTGTTATTTGGCAAGTTTTAAAGCCTGCACTTCAAAAACTAAACTTAGAAGGTTTTTTTCAAAACCTTAAAATGACTAAAAGCTAATTAGACCCTTTTTTCATAAACAAATTCTTAAAACCAGAAAGAGTGATTTGTTCCAAATGCCAGCATTGTTCGTCTATAAAAATGACTTCGCTTAAATTGGCTAAGAGCGGCCAAATTTTCTTCCATGGAAATTATCGAATTCCCGTCTGCGAAACAACAGCGAGATATTTTTGGTAGAATTGATTACCCGTCCATGTAAATATGAGCTGAGCGTTAGCATTGAAGTGGTTTTGAGTGAAGCAATTCTTCACCAAAGCAGTTCTTAGTTTATTTTGTAACAACATACTTCTGCAAATTTCCGATACGGCTCATCATAATAACACTCCCTTGCTAAATACCATTAATGTCTACAAAACAATTTTATAAGCTCAGTGCTTCAACTGTGTCAATCATCGAAATAGAAATAAAGAGTGATGGGAAATAAGATAACATGAGCTGAATTATGAATATAGGGATATACCACCTGCATTCAATAATGGGTTAAGTAATCGTTACCGACCCTTTTGTATTGAATATGGGATGTAAACAAAGTTAATAGCGGTCAGTCCAGACCCATTAAAGTGATCACGGAAGCAAATAAAATACGTGGGCACGCGTTTGGGATATATGGAAAGACTCTGGATTTGGCTACGAATTTATCGGTGTTTACCTACAAATTAGACTCAGGGATTTTGCCTCACAAATTTCCATAACATTAACTTCAATTGCTCCATAACTCAAGTCAATGGAGTGTGTTTAAGAAAATAATATTACAAACACATTCTTGAGAACATCAGGTGAACACACTCCGTTAATGCAGTCACATAAAAAGTCAAGTTTCCTCGAGTTTTTGAGAAACAATACGTTCAAATTTACAAGATCGATCCATAGATTCAGCGTTTTTTTTCCTTATTTTTTCTTATTTATTTATTTTTTCATTATCAGGGTAAAACACCTTATAAAATTGATCGAAGCGTCAAAAAAAGACAAAAAGCAATAATCGCAAAACGTGGTAATAAAAATATAAAAAATCTTTTGCACCGACATTCCAGCTCACGCAATCATACGGATAATGGTAATCGGTGTGTAGGACCAGACAGGTTGGCGTAACCTTATCCGACATTAGCCCTGCATTCACACAGTTTACTTTCATTTCCCAAAAACATGAAGTCTTAAGTTAGATTATATCGTGAAATAAATCAGAAGTTATAAAATAAGCCACGTTTTTTAATGGATTGTGATACCGCCCACTTCACTACATCGAGGAAAATATTTTCGTGTTTCAATCTTCTACTTACTCTAAGCAATACAGGAACAAACAAGTTAAAGATGATTCTCCAATTTGAAGTCCTCAGTAATTAGTCATTTCATCTTCCATCACATTCATTAACGTCAAGATTAATTAATGATGAGTTCTAATAAGCTCTTTAGTTTGAAGAAACAGAAAATCTCCCCTAAAACTACTGAAATTCCATAGATTTTCCGAGCAACTTAAAACCAATGTCTCGATAAATCAAGATTGCATAAAGAGTGCCAAGGCCGAACCCCTCAGATATCTTATAATAATTGAGCACGATACAGCTGTTATACTTAATCCAGAGCCTTGTTGAGACGATGCTCTGAATGTTGTTTTAAGCGCCACCTCCACCTCAGGGATAATAGCACATTGATATTTGGAAAAGGTGTGCTGTAATTTATGATTTGATTCAGCTAAACCATTCAGGATCAGATTTGGCATCCAAGGCCTTCATTGGAATACCTTCTAAATTATAAAATATTTTCAGGTTTCCTTCGTTAGATAAAACTGCTATAGACTTAACGGGACCTCTGAGCCAACAATTAGTTCCGGACTCGTATTTCTGATTAGGAGCCATGCAAATCAACTTCCATATTTTTCAAGGTCTTCTATTTCAAAATCATCAATTTGTGGGGGATGAGACAAAACCATTTTTGAAAGGAAATCTTTATAAGTACAGAACGAAAAAAACGGCTATAGTTTTTGACACGTTGGATATTTCAAATAAAGAAGATTTTTGTCATTAACCCTATATTTTTTTACTGTAATTTGAACCCAGACAGCGGGCTTCGTCACAGCATTAAATCCTCTCTCATCGCTCTTTGGAATTTCCTGTCGTTTCCAGTTTCACAATTTGTGACGAGCTTGGAACGGCCAGCACTGCCTTTTTCTTAATTTGGCACTTTTTTCTATTTACGGTAGTGATGGAACTACAATTTTGAGAAGGGGTGTAATTATAAACTTAAAGAAATATCACTGAGAAAAGGTTCAAAAAGGAATCCCGTTGTAGGAAACTAAAAATTAAGGATAATAATCTTGTTTATTTCAAATAGCTGAAGCTGTTTTCTCGCCAAATGTTTTTTATACCCATATTTGGAAGCTCGGTAAATTTCATTTTCGCTTGATTTCAACTACACAGAAATAGAGGAGTCAAGGGTGGATATCCAATTTATATCATGGAATGAAAGTCAAACTCAAGATATATATGCATTAAGTATGAGCATTTCTTACCTTCAAAGATCCAACGTTCTTTTGTGCCCAACTTTAGTGTTATTGAGCCAAACGCGTTTTCTTCTATTACTGTCTGGTAGCTATGGTTAAGATAGAATCTGTTGGTTTCAAGCCAAGATGATCATTAATATTAGAAATGAACTTCCCTCTTCCTGTTTGGGCTCTTTGCACCAAAAGGTAAACTAGTAAAATAATACCAAGTGAAAATGTTAACCTAACGCAAAGGATTGACTGGAGTCATGCGTCTTGGACTATAAATTATTATTATTAATTCATTGAAAGTGTCCCTTGTGGTCAGGCGCTAAAGGCGTTATAATTATATAATTACTGACCCCCGTAAAATCCTATTGTGCTCCCTCTGCATTATATCAGCGATTTCAGTCCAAGAGGGTAATTAGGTCTCTAGTACGGTCCAAGTTCCTTTTCTTGCGTTAATGAGCAGATTTATATTAGTTTTGAAAGGTTTTCTAAACTTATAAATCTAGAATGAAATTTTTAATTTATTACTTGTGCTAGCCAACGTAGGTTGTTAAAGTTGCTTAGCTATGATGAATATGATCAACTCTCTATTTCCGTCATTTGTTTTCTAAAAAGAACTTGTCTATCTTTCCATCGTTTTTAGTTCTTCATTTATTTTTTGGCATTTCGGAAAACGTCCACCTACATAATTTTTCTACTGTTGAATAATAATGATCACAGCAACAGCGTTTTAAAACGCTGAATAATATATACTTGAATAAATTTCAGTCTAGGGTATCCTTGCTGTGAGATTAATTTTGGAAGAACAAAAAACTTGAAAATTGCGTGAAGCTTCTGTGCAAAAGTTTTTAAGGATCATCTGAATCAAGCTATTTGTTATTTGGCAAGTTTTAAAGCCTCCACTTCGAAAATTATCACTTGGAAGATTTTTTCGATTCCACAAAATGGTTAAAAGCTTATGAGACCGGCTACCCTATTTTTCTAAACAATTTCTCAAAACCAGAAAGAGTGGTTTGCTCCAAATGCCAGAATTGTTCGTCTATAAAATTGACTTCGCTTAAGTTGGCTGAGAGCGGCCAATTTTTCTTCCATGCAAATTATCGAATTCCCGTCTGTGAACCAACAACGAAATATTTTTGATTTGGAATCGATTACCCGTCCATGTAAATATGAGCTGAGCGTTAGGATTGAAGTGGTTTTGAATGAAGCAATTTTTCACCAAAGCAGTTCTTAGTTTATTTTGTAGCAACATACTTTTGCAAATTTCCGATATGGCTCATTATAATCACATTCCCTTGCTAAATACCATTAATGTCTACCCAACAAGTTTTCAAGACTAAGGTTCCTTCCCTTAAAAATCATGCTTGTTAGGCTCAAGTTTTCAGTTTTGTTATAATCACACCTTATAAGCCCAGCGCTTCAACTGTTGTCAGTCATCGAAATAGAAATAAAGAGTAATGGGAAATAAGATAACACGGGCTGAAGTATGAATATGGGGATAGAAAACGATTCGTAGTTTGCGTCTAAGACAATAACATTATAAACATATTCTTAAGAACAATAGGTGAACATGCCTAGATAACGCAGTCACATAAAAAAACCAAGTTCCCTTGGGTTTCTGAGAAACAACACCTTGAAATTTTCAGGATAGATAGATTCAGCGTTTTTTTGTTTTTTTTTTTCACTCTTTCAAGATTGACTCAAGCGTCGATAATTGACGAAAAGAAAATTCTCATTAAATATGGTAATCGGTGTGAAGGACCAAACAGGTTGGAGTAACCTTATCCGCCGAAAAGACGTTAACCCTGCACTCGCACCGTTCGCTTTAATTTTCCAAAAACACGAATTCTTAATTTAGACTTCATCTTGAAATAAATCTGAAATTATGAAATAAGTCACGTTCTCTGATGGACCACCTACTTCACTACGTCGAGCAAAATATTTTCTCGTTTGGCCCTCCTAATTATTCGAAATAATACAGGAACGCAAAATACCATTAATGTCTACAAACAGCAATTTCGAGAAGAAGTGTCTTTATAAACATAAAACAAATATCGCTGAGAAAAGGTTCGAGAAGTAAACACGTTGTAGAAAACTAAAAATTAAGGATAATGATCTTGTTTATTTCGAATACCTGAAGCTGTTTTTTCGCCAAAAGTTTGTTATACCCACATTTGGAAGCTCGGTAAATTTCATTTTCTTTTATTTCAACCACACCGAACTAGAGGAGTTAAGGATGGATATCAAATCTTGTCATGGGATAAAAGTCAAACTCAAATTATTCCTTCATTAGGTACAATCATTTCTTACCTTCAAAGATCCAACGTTCTTTGGTGCCTACCTCTAGTGTTATTGAGCCAAACGCGTTTTCTTTTATTACTTTCTGGTAGCCATGGTTACGATAGAAGCTGTTGGTTTCAAGCCAAGATGATCAATAATATTAGAAATGAACTTCCCTCTTCCTGTTTGGGCTCTTCACACACTAAAAAAAAAAAAAACACACACACACACACGCGCAAAAAAAAAAAAAAACTAAATTGGTAAAATAATGGCCGGCAAAGAATTTAACCTAATGGAACGGATTGACTGGAGAATGCGTTTTGGACTATAAAATAATAATATTAATTCCTTAAAACTGTCGCCTCTTGCGTCGGGTGCAAAAGGCATTATGCTTATAGATCTTTTTTGTAATTCATGTCAAACAAACGTAATGGAGATGAATTTGAGAGAAAAAAACGAAAGACTTCAGTAAGAATTCAAGGAAAGTCCGGCAAAAATGGTTTTGACTTTCATCAAACTGTAGCGTAATTTTAGTTTGAAAACTTACTCTAAACACGGTGAAGTCTTGGACCAAATACTGACGATTCGTGTTGGAATTGATTTTTCTATCAAAGTTCATATCCATTTTGCGCGAAAGCCGCAATGACCATAATTCACGGACTTCACGCACACACAACACAAACGATTTGCTCGAACCTCAAGGTCTTTCAGCTACATTACAAATTTAAGTTGACAGTGAGGACAAACAGATTAAACAAAATGCGATGCAAATTTACATTGATATGCCAAATACAGCGAATGCATACCTAAATATATCTGAGCTTGAAAGTGAAATTGAAATAGATTAATGGCGCTGCAAATATGACTATTTTTCTTTTTCGTGATACGCAGGTTCTTGTAATTTGCTTGCGTTCTTTCAACATTACTCATATTTATTTGAATTGTCTACTATCTTGTCTTAAGAAAACTTAAATCAATACGTAATAATGGCTCGAAATTATTGCAAAATTTCCGGCTATTTTTGTCAAATCGTTCGCTCTTCTTCCCAGAGCTTTGTCACCACAAGTTAGACAAAAAGCACAATGTTTTCCGTCCGTTAGATGAAACCATCGCAACAATCTGTACACGAGGAAACATTTAGCCGGCTTCGCGCGCTGTTTAGGAGTTTCAAAACATAGTTAAAGCGCACTCTTACCAGAATAAACAATACATATTTTCCTTATCATTTAACATTGTAAATGTTTTGTTCAAGATGACAGACAAGGCAAATATACCAGAAGCTATTAATGTCTTTCTATGAGACACGAAATTACTTCATTAATAAATTACCTCTTATGTTTTTTCCAGCTTGCCTAATTCTTCGGTGGAAAACGCGAATTTGTTTTGTTTTGTTTTGCTTTTACTTTTCAATTACAGAAATTTAAAATTAAAAAATATATATATATTTATATACATATTCGGTCGAAGGTACTCGAATTTTCAATTTACACTTAAACTTGTTTAAGTTCTCATTACGAGTGATATGCCATTAAAAAATGGCAGAGTAATTTCGAACTTCAATTTAATCAAAGAAATAAAACGTTGGATCAATTGCGTGAGCCACAAATTTAGTTCGTAAGTCTCTATTGTTTAAATTGCAATTGTATTAATCCCGCTGCACGGATGGTTTAGTCTCTAAAAGTGAAAACTCTCAGACAATCTTTAAAGCTTATGCACGGAAGGCATTTTTTTAATGAGTCTTTCTTTATGTTTTTGTTTGTTTCTGAGGCGATGAACTGTATATAAATTCATGAAAATGATCCAGAAAAGAATTGTGTAATTGTTTCGAAGACAGCTTTCAAGACGTGGGATTTGTCTTAGCTAAGAGACTCGCATTTGTCAGGAACTCAGTTAGCGTGCGTCGCTCTTGAGGCCCTGTTTATTATTCAAGTTGTAATCAGATAGTTATCTTCTAACTGTTGACTAGTCTCATTCGCGTTTTCATCGAAATAGGGAAGACTTCATCTAGGCAGGCGATAAATTGGCTTTTTTTTTTTGTTTTTTTTTTGCAATAATGCAATAACGTATAGACCAAAATGTTGGAATAAAGTTCAGGTGGAGTTATTTTCCAATGATTAAGATTCATCTTTAATTGGTTGAATGTGTTTCAGTGGCGCCTTAGAACGAAGTAAGCACATGCATAGGAAATATATGGAATTAATAATCAAGGAAGTGCTGAGTATTGTGGTGAAGCTTGCAAGATGTACCTTGCGAAGCATTTTGTATGTTAATGTCTTCATCCTGATTCTTGCATCTTATACTTAACAAAGGGTAAATTATGATTTGCCTGGTTTTTACTCAAGAATTCATGAAATAATCGGTTCGAGAAGTCAAACGCTGCTTGCCATAGCAATGCTACTAACGCTGAAGGAAAACGAATTTTTAGCCATGACGGAAATATTACAGTACTGATGGTCTTAAAATAATGAGGGAACTTTGAGCGGCAGGCTTGTAAACATCAAGGCGGCGAAACAAAAAATACATTTTATTCGTACCTTGAATTATGCACTGCCTCTATTTCATTTTCTAAGCGCATGAGTTTATGAAGAAACGGTTGCTGAATTTTTTTTTTTTCATTATACCTTTACTTTTAATAATTTGTCTTGAAAACAAACACAAAAAATTAAAAAAAAAAAAAAAAGAATAAAAATAAAATAAAAATTGTAGGTTCTGCGTAATTCAACCAGCCCACATAAGCAGAGTATACATGCAAGATTTTATATAGTATGGTGTAAGAATGAACCGTAATTATAAGTTCATGATAAAATTTCCTTAACAAAGTAGAGGAAAAGTTAAAACAATACTGATCGAAGTATATTGATGTGGTTAAAATTTATTAGTACAGGCCGCAGTTGTCAACGTAACTATCATTTATATTTTGGCATCTTAAAGCTCTACTCCAATTCGTTTGAAACAATCCGCACAAGCTAAAATTTGAAATGAAATTGGACTTCAGCCCGTGTTGTCTCATTGGTTTTCTGATTTATCTTCCCAATCCTGTTTAAAAAGAAGAATATGAGTATTTGCACTCTTTCTTCGTTTGCATTCGCTTCATGGCAGTAAACAGTACACGAAGGTTATTACGTTTGTAATTCCATCCCATCTTACATGCGAACTGTTACGTAAATACCGAGAAAAGTTTTCCAAGGCATCCAGTTTCAACTTTTCAGTAATTTTGTCATGGCGGTGTTGAAATCCCAGGACTTCCAACTTTAAGCTAGTCTGTACGTGCTTCGTTGGGTGTTTTTGTTCCGAACAAAAACGTTAATTTTTCGTAACCACTCGAACTCTAAACATCGTTAATGTATCTTTCTCTCCCGGTCAAGTTTATTCTAAAAAGAAACTCGCTTGGAAGATAACAGAAAGTTTCAAAGACGACACGTGGTTGAAAGGTAGATTTTTTTCTTTAGAATATTGAAATCATGTACACATAATATATACAATTGCAACAAATCCGGCATTGAGCAACTCCAGCGAGCTTACTTCCTTTAAAAGTGCCCCTAAACTTTACAATAGCAGAATTAGATTTAGGCCGAGAGGAGGCCATTACTATTCTTAGGTAATATGGATAATAATGGTTTTCCCATCATTCTTTCCTACGAACACCCGCTCCCCTCCCCTCCTCTTCCCCTCCTTTATGGTTTTATGTTTTATTTATTTCATTTTTTTTTGTTTTTGTTTTTGTTTTTGTTTTTTTTTCTGTTTTTCTCTCGTTTTAACCTATCAGCACTGATAAGGATCGGGACTACAAAAAGTGCCCTCTTGCATCCTTTTTTTTAAATATTTGGTTTTTGATTCGAAGATCGTAAATTAGAACCTACCCCCTTCGAGACTAAAAAAAGGCGCCCTCTTGCATCCGTTTTTTAAATATTTGGTTTTTGATCCGAAGATTATAAATTAGAACCTACCCTCAGAATACATTCTCACAAAAAATTTCATTGAAGACTGTGACGTAAGTGCTCCTTCTGTCCTCATTACTCAGGACTTTGTAATTTACACATGGGTCGACTAAAAGATTGACCGATAATTGCAAATCATTGTCATCCTTATTCCTTAGTTGTTAGAGTTCTCTGGGAAAGCAATAATTGTTAAGGCTCCATAAGTTCTAAGGAAAATACCACGCCCGTATTGAGTAAAACCAAGTTAAAAACTATTTCGCAATTTTTGATTACATCGATTTCATTTTCGGATGATATTCGAGAAAAATGATGATAAACATTCCTGACATATTCAAGAATGCAAGTCTGGGGAACTTGAGTAGTAGTGCGGGAGGTATTAAAATGACAGTTTACCATTTGGACGGCATGAAATAATTGCGATCGTACGTCAAAAAGAACGTACTCGTTAAAGAAAAAAAAGAGTACGATTTGAACGAGCATAGAACGAAGTAACCCGAGTGGCCCCTTAAGATTCGAGTTACTGCAATTGGATACTCTGGCAGTTGAGTCTATATATAAGTTAACATGAAGTTTCTTTTCACGACTGTCTCCTGTGTATCTCTGCTTAACTGAGCAGTAAAGGGGGAGATATTAGTTTTGGTTAAGTTCGCATTCACGTCCTTGCATGGCTGAAGGGTCTAACAAAGTCACCTTTACAGGTACGATTGTAAGAGTCATAAGTGTTAATACAGTCCACTTTTTCAAATGGATCTTGAGCATCATCAATAACTTCTTCTGTAACATGAAAGAGAAAACATGAGTGTTGAAGACGACGAGAAAAAGCAAGATGTTTTTCGGTTTATCACCTTGGTCATAATAAACCGTGAATGAATCCGCACTTTTCCTCATAGTTTCATTCATACGATCATACCGCCGTATTGTCACACAAAATATCTGTGAGCACTGTTATAAGCCTTTTCGCTGAGCTATGCTAGATTTTTTAAAGAATTAGGGGTCAGTCATTGTTGATCACTTGGAAGGGTGGGAGGGGGAGGGGATAGGGAAAGGAGGATTCTGGAGGGGGGGGGAGCACACGAGGGGTATTAGTCATCACCAACAGAGTTTAAAGGGGGAGACATGACTAAGAATATAGACTGGCAACTGATTAACTTTTGATGAAGTGCGGGAGGATCATTAGAATATTAAAACCTTATGTGTGAAGTAAGATCTAAATTGTTTGCTAATTACTTTTGTGTAATTTTGTATTTGTATATTAATTTGTTTCCTTTATTTTACATATCTCCTTGTGAGTATTTTTTGTTATATTTCTCATCATTTTCCTTCTTTAGTTACATCTTATTTGTCTTACTTGGATATTTTTCTTACCGCACGTAATTACGCAATCGTCTTCTATTTTTTTTTGCATAATCATTTTTCTACGTCAGTTTACCTAAAATGGCCACCGTTAAGAGTTTAAAAGTGACTTTTCGAGCGTTAGCCCTTCGTCGGAGCCCTGATGAAGGGCTAGCACTCGAAACGTCAAGCTTTTAAACTCTTTACGGTAGCCAATTTACGTTTTCAACTCGGTTGATAAAACTAAATTAATTTGTTGCACTCTCCCACCGACGCAGCACCGCATTTTATTTAGAATCCCCCCCCTCTTATTCAGTTTACCGAAAGTCGCACTTGGCGCAGTTCACTGTTTTCTTCAACTTAAAATCCTTTGCTATTCCAATTACATATCACGCGTTAGGAAGGTAAGTATTTCCGTTTCGTTTTGTATTCATTTTTGTTTGTAATTTATTAATCTTAGTTAACTTAGCTTTTATTTACTACGTTTTTGTTTCAACCAGCTGCTGTGTGTTAGCTGTAAAAATAAGAACTCTGAGTTAAAAAGATAACGCTCTCGCTGTTACAGGGGGTTCAAATAAATTTCATCCTGACCCTTAAGCGAAAAACAACAGCAAAAAAAAACAGATCAAAATATTTATAAATAATGCGAAGTTAAATAACATGAAACACAATACAAAACCAAATAATATGAAAGACAAATAAAGCTAAACAATACAAAAAATTAATGGTACCAAGAAAAATGTAGGTCTTGATTGCTTAAGCTGTGCATTAATTGTTATTTAATGGAGGAACCATTTTGTTTTGCTTTGTTTTGCTTTTTTCTGGTTGGCCAAACAATGGGTTTCTTTGAAATTATTCACCAAAAGAATCGGTTCTACGTGGATTTCCCACCTCTTCCTCTACTTAGCAATTATTTGCGTACGGCGAGGTGAATATTACTGAGCTTGAGGCGAATAATTGTTGCACTATAATTGCGATGGAGCTTTCGAAGTCTGTTGCAAATTCTGCAAACAAAGAGAGCATTGCGCATATTTTTTTATAATTGTTGTGATCACTGAATCAGCAAAAAATTAAAACCTCTCTTTTGAAGAAAGTTCCGCCAAACTCAGAAGCATTTTTGTGCTCTTCGCAATTTAATTTTCTTTTAATACGTTTATCACTTTCGCGGAAACATAACCAAAACGCGAGGCAGCCAGTCTCTGCTATAATCATCTCGCGCGAGTCGATTATAGCGAGGTAAGACGCAATCCTTGACCAATCAGAGGGCGCGCATCTCTCCAATCACCTCTAACAATTATACAGATACGTGACATGGTAGGTTACTTTATTTGTCACACACTCACCTGACGATGAGGACCTTAATCCTGTAATCACTCTATTTTGGAACTTTTGGTCAAGCTTCGTTTTAGCTACAGTTGAATTCAGTTTATGTGAGCTTTCAAGACTTATGGAATAAATTCCCTTTAATTTTTGGGCAGTTGTTTGATACGAAAACTTGTACGTTTGTCGTAATGAGAATTGGAAAAAAGGTTGCAAACAGTATAAACTTCTCAGTCTACAGTCTGAATTTTGTACCTGGTCTTCAGTCTGCATTTTGTACTGCCCGGATTGGCATTTCTGTTTTTGTTCGAGCGAGCCTCGAGTCTGGACTGAAATATTGGAGCTGGAAGAAAATTCTAGTGAGACTATCTTGACCGCTATGATCGATATGTGGACTGCATGTTGAAGAGCCCACGAGAAAAAGTACAATGATGCTCCATTGCGTGGTCACAGTGTGCGTGTGTGTTGAAAAGAACCCACTACGGGTCCCCTAGGTGTAAACATTTCGGCTTCTTGACTCAAGTTGCATTTTCAGGAGTTCGGAAATGTGATTTGGGGTTATTATCTTTATTAAACCATATAAACATTTTATTTTTTCCACGTGAGTTTCTGAGCTTCATCGAAATTAATTTTGACTTTCACTAAGTGGGGAGGGGTAGCATGCGTGACTACTTCCGTTCACGGTCGACAACTTCCGTCAACATCTGCTCTACTACAGATTCATTTTCATTTCAGCATGAATGAGCAAAAAACCAACGCCTCGACCCGACAAGAGGCGCCTTTAAGGTAATCTGACTCCGCTAAAGAGATCTAACCTGGTAAAGACTCCTTTGAAAGGCATGAGTTTTTGTTATGTTTTTTCCCTTTAACATGAAGGTCACATTTTATTTAGTTTTACAATCCGATGGGTCAGACATTTTGGTCTTCGAAAAAGTTAATTTCCTATGTTTTGTGGGGTCATTATTGGCTATTTTGAGCCTTTGAACCAATCTCGGTTCTAAGTCATTAAAACATTTACTATGTCCTTTAGTTCTTCATCAGAAAGCGCGCTAACTTGAACGTTTTTCATTTCAGTTTAGGAACTCGATCGATCCACCCTAAGCTCTCTTGGACTATTTGCACCCTCCCCCAGATTTCCAAGGGGTTATTGACACGTTTGCCATAACACCTTGTGAAAGCAAAACTGAAATGCCATTTCATTGTTAAATCGTGACATCACTGCAAAATAACCTAAATACTACAGGCACTCTGATAGGTAAAAAATTGACCATTTAGTGCATCGCCAAACCCTTGGAAAATTTGTACATAATGGGTTTGGTTTTAAGTTTACTTTATAAAAATCAAAAGACTGCTCTCTCCTTCGGATAACGAGCGAAATAACCCATTTTTTTAATGGCTCCCGGCTGGTGATTTACACAATTTTTTTCGTGTTCTCCTATACCGATAGAAAGTGCGGTCTATTGCTTATACAAACAGCCAAATACAAGAACAATCGTCGTTACATAATTAGTCTTTATTGTTTTTTTAGAGGGCACGGTAACGAATCTTGCAATCTGATTGGTTCTTTACCCGGTCAGTATTTTCCTATCTCTGCCCACGGGCCACGGTAACGCTTTCGTGAGTCGCCGAGTACATCCCAACTTTCGTTGTCATTTTTCATAAATATACCTCGTTTTCCGGCTGGGCAGTATTTTTAAGCAAACACGTCGGTCACTACCTCAAGCCGATAAATAACTTATGAATCCTCTCTTTTCTCTCTATCAAATCACTTTGGTTGACAGAAAAATATTGGTTTCAGAATGAATTTGTATAAACAATAGTGTCATTACGTTGGTTGACAAGCGGCCTAAAAACCGTCTGCAATTAATTTTAATCGTTCACAAAAAGTACCCAGAAAGTTGAAACGTGAGGTAGTTGGTTACAGTTAAACTGAACGATGGAACTTTCATTCATTTAATATCTGAATTTTCTCGAGCAATTTGTTCATAGTGAAAGAGCGAGCGAAGTTTTAATTTAAGTTCTACAATAAATATACGCTCCTGGTGAGTCTTTCCAATTCCGTTCAATTTGGACATTTGTACCTTAAATTGCACAACAGAAATTGAAGGAATTGAGAAAAGGCCACATTACATTCCCTTGTGTCTCGTTGGAGTGTGCCGTTCGAATTTAGTTTTTGTGAAGGAAAGATCAGGGTTAAACACGCCATTACAGCAAACAAACGAGCAAACTCTCACAACTTCAAAATAAAAAAATTGAATTTACTTACAATTACTTTCCTCGCCGTTTACTTAATGAACAGAGGTAAATCTTCGTACATGAATGAATGGTCGATGAGAGTGAATAATACTTTCCGTTAGATCATTAACTGATTTTGAAGAAAACATTGTCGTGACAGTCCTTGCTAAACTAGATCTGTTGGTTTTCAAATGTTCCTACGCTTTTTTTTTCTTGCGCGCTCTCTAATTGACAGGTGTCAGATTGTGACAGATACTTGTAAAAATAATGTTTCAATGTTTGTTTGGAAGCCTTTTAAATCACCTTTATCGTTACGGAAATGAAAATGTTTCGCTGAGGCATCTCTCTTAAATTTGCATCACCTCTATTTTAACTACCATTTACTCACTCAAAAATTGTTCAGTTTATGGAAGATCTTGCCATATTTACGGCCATAAGTCATTCAGGTTCTTTCGGAAAGAATTTCTTCAAGTTTAAAAACAATAAATATGTTATTTACCGGCTAAGGGTCGGTCCGTATGGTGAAAAACTGTGACCTCGGTCTTGAAAATGCTGCCCTCGGCCTACGGCCTCGGGCAGTATTTTCAAGACCTCGGTCACAGTTTTTCACCATACGGACCTCCCAGCCGGCAAATAACATATATATATATCACAATTCCGTAAAGTGGATCAAACGTTGGAAAAAACATATCGATATGGTGGCTTTCAAGAATTTTGTCTAAGTGTACATTTTTCCAGAAGGAAAAAATGATGCGACTTATCTGGTTGAAAAATTTTTACTTACGTAAACTCTATAATTCGAACGAAAATCAAATGGGAAGAAATCAAATATTCCTGCCAAAAATTAGCTTATTGTTATAATATTTAAAAAACGAAGAAGTTACCCAATTGTTTTACTTGTCCCCTGAGGCTTTTTAAGTTTTAATACTCTGTCAATTTTGGACCGGACACCCATATAATACAGCGTGTCTTACTAGAGGGATCAAGCACTCTTCGATTCGTTTAAGGTACCGCACCAAGCTGTTGCTGTGGTTACTGATACGGTTTTGGCTCGCGAACTTGCAACTTCATTTACAAATAAATGTCTTTTCACAATCACATGGGTCAGCATAATAAAATCAACTCACGCCGCGGCAGGAAATGTACACAATTATCCATTTCCAGTCTACAAAAGACTATATCATGACTGCATATTTCTAAGCTTTTCTGTGACGACACACTGAGGTCATCGTTCGCGACACCTATGTCACGCGATCTTTTGACAGTTGTTGCTCACAGTCGTTTTAAAATAATCCATTGGCTGGTATATTGTTTTCAAAAGAGATTTTATATCGAAAGAATGGCTCTTCTGTTTTCAAGATTTTTCATGGTATACCCCAAATATTTGTGGTTCAATGGAGTAAAAAACTGTTACATAGTAAACGTCTCCTGGTTAGTTAAATGCTACGGAAATTCAACAAAGTGTAATTGAAATGTTTGTTGCATGCATTTACTTCAGTTAGCTTTGAGACCAATTGTTTTTAGCGCATAAAGCTGTTTTAACGTTTCACCGTTATGAAAAGATGAATGGGAATGTCGGGTGCGATAAAATTTGGGCGAAGGTTCAGTTAACAATAAATAGTACGTCCCTCAGCTCTGAAAATAGCGAGTTTACAAATGGATTTAAGTGGATTTTTCTCCAAACTTACGGTATATCTGAAAATTGATTTATCTAATACATCATTAAGAGAACTTTCAAATTCATTTTGTTCATAGCGTTACAATAAGAAAAAAATAATTATCGGCGAAATCAAAAGTTAGCATTTGAAATTACTCACGCCATTTCAGTGGTGAAGAATACTGACTAGTCCTTAACAGCAGATGTATAGCATTGAAGAACTGAACTGTAATAATAAAATGATGTATAGGGGCTACTTCCAGTACGTTCTGCGGTCGCTGAAATAAACCTCAGCCTTATTGGTGTGAGCTAGCCATGTTGGGTTCTTAATTACGTGACATTTTGTTCTGAAAAATTATTAAATGCCTAAAAGCACTGAACGCCTATTTAACAGCATTATCTCTTCATCGATTGAAATTTAGCAGGTATAAAAAATGACCGCTGTTTTTCTGTTTTTTTATTTTTAATTTTCGTTTTTTTAGCATTTTTATTTGTTTCAAGGGCATTCTCAAACACATAAGGGACGTGTTCATCACACAGAAGCATCTTGGGATCTTGAGGCTTCCCAGGCCGTGATCACATCCAATTACCAGTCTGGGATCAAGCTTTCCACTCGTGATTTCTAATCGCAATTCGTGTGGCTACTGCCTCCTAAAGGAGTCGAAGTCACATATGTTATTCCTTTTTGATCAAGCTATCAACACAGACGTAGTCACAGCGTGAAATTTTATCACTGTGATCACGCCTTAAACACTAAATCTTTTCAGTCTCAAATTTTCCAAATTCACCAGCTAAATGTTCCTAATCGGCATCTGGAACCGCGCACAACTCACTTATATTGATCCGAATTAAAAATAATCCCTTATTGGTAGAGAGTTTAGACACGAAATAAAAATTAAAAGAGATATTGAGGCCTACCAATGAACGTCACGTCTCGCTGTAAAAAATGAACTCGGAATCAAGCGTGAGCAAAACATTTCTTTCATTTAACGTCTATATTTCTTGATTTAAGTTTATTTGGTGACAAGGACACTTTAAACAATAAGCAATTTCACGGGTTTTTTATTTTTTTTAAATTTATTTATTTTTTATCAACAACCTGATGGGAACAGGTGGGTTACAGAAGATTGCGAGAAATAAACGTAATTATTTTAAGCTTCTTAAAAAAACAATGGGCCATATAGGTACCATTAGGTAATTAATTACAATTTAACACTAGCATTGCTTGTATTATGAGAATTGCCTTGAAAATAAATCAAGGAGTAAGTAAAGTTATATGAAGCAGTCCTTACTGCGGAAGCTTATACATGTACGCACTTAATGCAATTCAAAAATAATAATAATAATAATTTATTTACTTATATTGCGCGTGTTACATATGCAGATGCTCACACGCGCATTTCAATAAAATAATCTTACAGCACCGTCTTTATAATCATTACAATCATTACAACCTTTACAATCCTGATCATTGAAAGTATAGTATTTACAATCTTACCAATTTTTTAATCATTAAAATCTCTACATATGTGATATTATTTAAACTATGGTATTTATAATCGTTACAATTTTTCTAATCATTAAAATCTTTACTATCATAACATTATTAAACCGATTGTATTTAAAGCAGATAGGCTTTCCTAAACAGGTGAGTTTTGAGAAGACGCTTAGAAATATGTACAGTATTGGCATAACGTATGTCTCTCAGTAACTCGTTCCACAGTTTAGGCCCTGCATATTTAAATGAGCGGTCACCTAATATGATACCACTCATAAAAGAAGGAGTACTCAGTAAAAGTGTATCATCAGAGTTTCTGAGATTGTATCTTGAGGCTGTTGCAAGTTCTACAAGTTCAGATATATAAGGGGGAGCGATACCGTTGAGGGCTTTATATACATATAGAAGGATTTTAAACTGGATTCTATAGTTAATGGGTAGCCAATGGAGCCTGTACAGTTATGGGGGGTGATGTGTTCGAAACGACCTACATTGCAGATTAGGCGAGCGGCCGCATTTTGGATTCTCTGTAGTTTATGTAGTTGGTTGTTAGGCAAAAACACTACTGATCTAGTAGTTGGAAATAGGACCTGAAAAGAAAATCAGGCCCATGCGTGAATTGAATGACCAGTGTTTATAACTATTTAGCTCATTTGCTATGCGTTTAAATTTCCTCTCGGGCACAGGAGATAAATACTTGACTTGGGAATCGTGCGCAACTTCATTCCTATATTCTAAGCCTCACGCTAACCTAAACCTAAAATACTTAACACTGTCATTTGGGATCTCTTTTCCATGCCATAACTAATGGTTTCAAAGGATTGGAACAAGGTTAATATATTTATTTCAAAACTTTTCAACCTGGAAAATTTTCATTTTAGTGTGAAACTGCGATAAAAACAGTGAAACTTCCATGCCATACCTTACTGCCTCACAATAGATAGCATTTACCCACATTAGTCCTTACATAACCGTCTTGCTTTGTTTTTAAAGCAACTATCAGACTGAACACATCATTAGCACTAACAAAAAGCGGCATCAAATTTTTGAAATAAACTGAAACGAAAATTATCAAACCGTGCTATTATCTGCGTCATGTTAGTCAGTTTTTAACGTTTTGGGAACACAGTTTCGCCATGTTTTGCCAGTCATCATGCAGACTGATGTTCCTGCTTGTCTAGGATTTCACTATTTAAGCATTTTCCTTCTCTATTAATTTCTTTTTTGTTTGTTATTAGTTCTTTAAGCAACAATTGATTATTTGTGATTATTCTTGCGAAAGAGATGATTTGTAAAATGTCAAATTCAATGCATTTGTTTTTCGCAAGTTAACAGGACATCATCATCATATAAAATCCATAGAAACAAAATCCCTCAAGCACGTGTACCTGAGGATCAATAAGTCCTCTTATTTCTTGAATTTTTTGCTCGACATTCAGTCCGTACCACAATAGCGCGAATCACAATTTGGTGGCTGAAAAAATTTGTAGATGAAGTAGGATCCACATTTTTTACACAAATCTTTTTAGAGTATTGACAACTAGTAGAGCGATCACTAAAGCACACCACCCCGCGAACTTCACCATCTTCCGCTGTAGGATGAATAGTCGTCAACCAGCCTGGCCAGTTAGTACCAAACCTGAATGCTTGCACACGCTCTGTTGGCATTCTTGTTCCTGCAGCTCCTACAAAACGATACCATCCCCTACGGAGTTGGCTGTCACACAAAACTTCTTTTGTTTCGGTTTTTGTGTTTCGATTTGCTTCACTCAGGTTTGAGTAATGATGGCAAGGATCAGCTACAAAGAAAAATGATACTTTTAGGAGCATTATAGTCATTGGAATCAATGATAAAATATATTTTGTCTATATTCATATAATTGCAGCAGTTTATCAAGAGCAGTAGACTTTGCATTTCACGAGAATGATAATAACTATTCCTAATATGGCTTTAATTTGTTGCCGATATAACGCACGCTCTGATTGGCTAAGAGCGAGATCAAAGCAAGGCATCATACAGCGCTAATGCCCACGAGCTAACACTAGATTATGCACATTAGGAAGAGCAAAAATGTCACGCATGTACCGCGACTGCTCTCTTCCTTTTTTCGAAAATTCGAGCGCATGAAAGCGACAAAGGTCAATGAGGTGTCTGAGGAGTAAATTTAACTACAAGTATTTAAAGTTGTGAAGAACAGCGAATACACAGTTTTAAGTTATTTTTTAAGATTGTGGACGAGGTAAACAAACAAGGATTCGTTCAATCCTACATCTAATATAAGAAACCGTTAAAACTCGCATTGAAAAGCTGTCAGTGACATGGTAAAACCTCGATAAAATGTTTCCTTAATAAATTTTGTAATGAAGTGGTTTCTGACTTACCAGCTGGTAACCTTTGCGGCCTTAAGTAAAGAGCCTTTACAATTTACCATGACATATACAAAGCTTCAATCGCTAAGTGAATAACGCCATTGGTAGATCTCTCATGCATCCTTAGCAGAATACCGCGAAAAAAATTATAGATTATCGCATTCCATGAGTTCACAACAACTACCGAAATATTAATTTTTGTCACAGCTAGTTCAGCAGTTTTCATCAGTAAGTTTCCTCGCTATTACACAAGCAGATTAAAAATCAGTTACCACTAAGTAACATCAAATGTAAACAGTCGAGCGGTTCTTTTTAGAAGCAGTATTTCTGATTATATATAATATTAGATGTTCAAAAGGCTCGTGAAGTTCATCCATAAGGCTCTCAGGAGGCGAAGATTTGATGCCCAAAGCGAAAGTGTGGACTGAAATATATTATGAGCAGTGCATTCCGAAACATTTGGATTTTTTCCCAGATAGCCGTGCGAGTTTGGATTATTTTGCAGAAAATTTATGTCTTTTCTGTATGCTTTCCAATTGACCATTTCCAATAGTCTTGAAAGTCTCACAAATATTTTCTCAGTTGTCTCACTTCTACATTGATACCAGTCTTTTTTAAGGCTGCAAATGAAATCATTTTTCCGGAAAATAAATGTACTCTTGATGGTATACGTGACAATGGTGCATTTCACCGATTGCATAGTTTTACCGCGGGTTTGAGTCGGTAAATGGATAGTTGAATGCATCACCGGATGTTGATTGACGACTTTCGCTTGAGTAAATTTTTTCTTTTTTCCAAGTCAAAAGCCATATACTAAATAGTTAGTAAGAAAAATGTTATTAGTTTTAAGGAAAACAGGATCTTAATTAGAGTCCCTTCTTTCTTAACAGTGTATTTTTGGTGTTACCAGATAGACACATGTTACCAGAAGCTATCTATTAAAAGTAAGGTAAAATTACTGAGAGATATCTCTATGTTCAAAGAGATGCTAACATCGACCATTCAGAAACAAAAACCAACGAATTTCTCGCATTTACATTTCTTCCGATAGTTCACTTTCTTGGAATCGTTGTTTACATAACTTGACGGCCATATCATCGCGTAGGGTTGCGATAAAAACTGTGAAAGTTGAGTAATTGAAAGAAAGACAATGTTCAAATGAACAACGCCTTAAGCACATATCACCACTTGAATAGTATGTACTGCTCCAAATAATGGCCCAAATCTCGAAAAGCATCACTTGAAGTTTACAAGTTCTGTTTTCCAGCCAGTGTCCTTATCGCTTTTGAAATTGCATTTTTCGTTATCCCAAAGCTAATTCTGTCGCATTTTAGTCTTTGAAGATCTCGACTACTTGCCGAATTGAGTGTTCTTCGGCATATTTAATTTTCATTTGGGCTGCAAACGGACTACCTTGATCAGAATGGAGTGGAAGGTGCAAAGAAACATCGAATGACAATTTTTTCGGAGTTCTGTACGAACTTATCAAATACCTTCGGCTAAACACGAATTCTGAATAAAATATTTTCTTTTAAATTGTGTTCCTTTTGATATGTCTATGGTCATTTTTATATTCTCATGCCACACAGATCAAAGATCTCCACGGCCCAGCAGAGGCTCATTACGGAAAGGGACATAGATTACAAACGTACAACTTTAAAAATCATTTTAACCCTTTTTTTTATCTCGCTGAGACACCTGGTACTGGGTTGGGAAGTCACAGCATTCATTTGCACGCAGTATTAGCGAAGTGGCGTGTTAAACATACAGGTAACATAATTTACATAATCATGACACATTTTAAAATATGACCGGAATAAATTAAAAGTCTATTTAATCCCAACCCTAAATAGAAAAAAAGGCATGAAGAAAATAAAAGTTCCTTTAAAATTGAAACTATCCAGTTAAGAAGTTTTTAAGAAACCAAAAGTACCTTTGCATTAAAAACCATTCCCAATGAATGTGGTACTACAAGAGCATTTGTATGAGCCCTGAGTATTAATGCAATAGGCATTCGGATGACTTTCTTTCGCCTTCAAAGGATGAGCCTCACTGCTTTCGTCAATGTCTGAAAGATAATGTACATACTACGTCAAGATTAAGCTGCAATAAATGTAATTATAAGCTAAAGGAAATAACATCAGTGTCACAGCAATCTTCTGTAACCTTTTAACGCCAATGTTTATTATGAAATTACCAGAATGTTACTTCGAAAACATGGAACTAAACTGGGTTATTTATCGATTCAAATAGTTGTATCATGAAAATAGTTTCAGGCCCTAATTATGAAGCAAGATTATCACCTTAGTTAAAATAATTTTATTTTGTTATGGATTGCAAAGTCCGGAAATACACTTTTTTTTTACTACCAAAAGCTTTCTGAGCGGCCAACATTGCCGACTTCTATGACGCGGGTGATTACAGTACACCCGCGAATTTTGAACGTCGACTTGGGACTAGTTTAGAGGGAATAGATACGTCATCCCTCGCCCATGCGAAGTACGAGTCAGGAAGATTGAAAATAAGAGATATAGCAATTGCCAATAAGAATAAATGAAACTCAAAGTCACAAAATTTAACAGTATTTCGACGCCAATTTTTGTTACACACAAAAAAAAGATTTTGTAAAAAAAAAAAAAAACTGAGATCAACGACAACCTGAAACGATAAAAAGTCAGCCATACTGATAGGCTCTTATTATGGAGCATGCTTGTTAATTACATTAAAGTTTTTTTTTTATTTTTTTTATTTATTTTGATTGCAAGAGTTCGTAATATTTCAACGGGTAGTCAATAAAAATTACGTCACCGATCACCAACGTTTTGTTTCAAAATATACATGCATTGAATTTTTCTTTTTATCTTTATTTTGGTTTTAACACAATTACGAAGCTCTCCGCCTTCTAGCTCTAAGGTTCAAAGTAAGACATGTGATTTCGTCTCACGCCGCCGTCTGTAATTATTGTAAGATCCAAAAGCATAAAAAAAAACCATCGAAGATATTCATATGCAACAATGAAACACAATTTAAGGAACCCGTCACATGATTGAAGGCGGTGTAAAACAACTCACTAAGGATCTTATTTCCTAGCAATGTTGATTACCATGGAGTAGATGTTGCTCTTTTCCGGTCCGCTGAGGTGCACTTTTATAATACTGAACGAAATACATCAAATTCACCTGTGCAGTTTTGTCCATTTGCAGTATATCCAGGTTAAGTTAGACAAAAAGTGCAACGTTTTCCGTATTATTAGTATTGGATTGGTTTTTCCTAAAAATTTGAACGGTTGAAATGATGCATATATGGATACATTTGCCAAGAATACAATTGCAACACATTCGGTAATGAGGATCTATGGGGAGCTTACTTTCTTTTCGCTCGTTACCCTAGGCGTCTACAATAGCAGCATTAGTTTCAGGCCGAGCGGAGGCCATTACTTTTTGTAGATACTATGCCGGATAAAAATGGTTTTCCCATCATTCTTTTACTGCGAACATCCCCTCCCCTCCTCTCCCCTCTTCTCCCCTCCCTTGTTGGTTTCATGTTTTGATTTTGTTTTTGTTTGTCTTTTTGTTTTTTACCCATGAGCACTAACAAGGATTGGACTACAAAAGTTGCCCTCTTGTATCTGATCCTAAATCAATGACAATTGATATTGATCATAAAATAATGACAATCATCATCCTATTATGAACCTTCCCTTGTACGCATTCTAGATTATAATGACAAGATAGGTAAACTGAGAAAAAGAGGATTATTGCAAGTCTTAAATCGTCACTTGCTTCTCGTGACCGGCACCTTACATGACGCTCGTGGACGCTTTGATGCAGCAAAATCTTCACAAATTGGCTATTATAACTTTGATGCCAGGGAATCCTCCCTTTCATTCATAAGGCTGTTAGATGAAGGATAAAAAACTGAATTTGTTGTTTTCCGTTTCTAAAAGTTTTGAAATTCATTATAATGAAAGGTGAGTGACGCTCAGCCGCAGGTTGGCGGTATCAAATAAACGCAAAGAAATGTCGTAATTTTACACGCGTGCAATCACAATTTTTATTAGGGCCGGAAATCCTTGTAAAACACCACAGTATATATTTAATAAAACCATGCAGCAGTTCTTCACTAGCGTCAAATCTTCCAGTAGAAGTATTTTTTCTATAAATTTATTCTGTACACGAGTAGCGTCCTGGACATTTAGGTGGTGTAACAAAACGTCAAATGCAATAGGACCCATATTTGATCACTGAAATGTCCAATATGAATCTGCAACAGCCTTAGGGTAGCTGGGAAAAGCAGACCCTTCTGGAAATTTCATCATCTTCCACTGAAGGATGATCGTCATTCGACCAGCCTGAAAGAACGGTATTACATTTATGTCGACTAATGCATTTGTCCGGCATTCTTGCTCCAGCTGCTCCAACGAAACGATACCGTCCCCAGGATCCATTGTCACGTGACATTTCATTGAAGACTGTGACGTAAGTGCCCTTTCTATCGGCTTTACTCATGGCTTTGTAATTAATACATGGGCCGACTACAAAATTGAGTGGTAATTGCAAAAAGACTATTTTATCATTTATACCTCAGTTGTTAGAAAGAATTCTTTGAGGAGAACAATGTTGTTAAGTCTCCATGAGTTCCAAGGAAAATACCACGCCCGCATTAAGTAAAACCAGGTGTAAAACTATTTCAATAGATGTCATTTTCGAATGATACTAGGTGAGCAAAGTAATGATTACCATTCTTGACATATTCAGGAGTGCAAGAGAAGTCTCGCGGACGACGAGTAGTGGTGCGGGAGGTTTTTAGATGATAGTTTACTATTTTAATGGCATTAAAATAACTGCAACCGTACGTCAGTATTGTGAAGAAAACGTACTCAATAAGGAAAAAAAAGGTGTGATTTGCAACGAGCATATAACAAAGTAACCCGAGTTTCCCTATAAGATTCGAGTTATTGCGGTTGGATGCTCTCCCAATAAAGTTACAGAGGTTGGTGGGAAATGTCATTCTATATATAAGTTAACGTGGTAGAGGTTTCTATTCATGACTGTCTCCTGTGTATCTTTCCTTATCTGAGTAATTAAGGGTTATATTAGTTTTTGTTAAGCTCGCATTCACGTCTTTGCATGGCTGAAAGGGTCTAACATGGTCACCCTTACAAGTACGATTGTAAGAGCATTAGTGCTGATCCATTCCACTTCTTCATATGTATCTTGACCATCATTGCTGACTTTTTCTGTACCATGAAAGAGAAAACATGAATATCGAAAAAAACGTGAGAAAGCAAGATTTTTTTCGGTTTATCACCTTGGTCATAATAAACCGTTAATGAATTCGAACACTTTTTCTCATAGTTTCATTCATACAATTAGACAGCCGTATTGTCACGCTAAATGTCTATGTGAGCTCTGTTATAAGCCTTTTCCATGAGGTATGCAGGATTTTCCAAAGAATTAGGGGCCTTTCATTGTTCATCATCTGAAAAAGAGAGGAGGGAAGGAGAAAGATCATATGAGAGGTATCAGTCATCCCCAAAAGAGCTTAAAGGAGGGAACGTGGCTGCAGAAAATTGACCGGCAACTGATTAACTTTTAATGAACGGGGGAGAATCAAAAGAATATTAGGGGGATGTAAGATCTAAATTGCTTGCCAATTATTTTTGTGTAATTTTGTAGTTACTTGTTTTCTTACTTATCTCTTCCTTTATTTTCCCATTACTCCTTTTTAGTGTTTTTTGTTGAGTTTGTTATCATTTCCCTTCTTTAGTTACATGTTTCATTTGTACGTTTTTCATGACGCACGTAACTGCGCAATCCTCTTCAATTTTTAAGCACAATCACTTTTCTTAGTCAATTTACCGAAAGCGCGGCGTTCTCTGTCTTGAAGTATTTTTCAACTTAAAAGTTATTCGCTATTGCAATTACATATTACGCTTGATCAGGGTAAGTATTTTTCCGTTTCGTTTCGTTAGTATTTATTTTTGTTTGTAATTTATTAATCTTAGTCAACTTAACTTTTATTTAACATGTTTTTAGTTTCAACCCGCTGCTGTGTGTTAGCAATGAAAGTAAAAACTCAGATTTTTAAAGATAACGCTCTCGCTGTGACGGGATGGCTTAAGACCCTTGACCCTCAGGCAAAAAAATATAATAAAACAAAAAACAAAAAAACAGATCAAAAAAACATATCAAAAAAATTCAAAATAGTACAAACACGGGTCTGCACGATGAATTCAACTTACGCCCCAGCAGGAAATGTGTACAATTATCCGTTTCAGTCTACAAAATTAAAGACAATATCACGACTATGTATTTCTATGCTGTTCTGTGACGACACACTGAGATCGTTTGCGACATGCGTATCACGTGGTCTTATGACAGCTGTTGCACGCGATCGTCAAAACAATCCAATGGTTGGTATATTGTTTTCCAAAGAGATAATATATAGAGAGAATGGTTCTACTGTTTTCAATATTATTCATGGTGGACCGCAAATATTTGTGGTTCAATGGAGCAAAAAACTGTCACATAGTAAAGATCTCCTGGTGAGTGGGATATTAACAAAGCGTAACTGAAAGGTTCGCTGTCCGCATTTACTTCGGCTAGCTTTGAGATCAATTATTTTTAGCACTTAAAGCTGTTTTAATGCTTCGCCGTTCTGGAAGATGGATGGGAATGTAAGGTGTGATAAAATTTGGGCAAAGTCTCTCAGCTCTGGAAACAGCAAGTTTACGAATGATTTGGTAAGCGGATTTTTTTCCTAGCTTACAGTATATCTGAAAATTGATACATCACCAAGAGAGCTTTTAAATGAATATTGTTAATAGTGTTACAATAAGGAAAAAAAAAACAACAACAACAACATCGGCGAAATCAGAAGTTAGCATGTGGAATTACTCACGCCATTTCAGCAGTGAAGGAAATTGACTAGTCCTCAACAGCGGATGCACCTTTTTGAGCACAATAAAATAAAAGGTCAACCAAGGATCGAAGAACTCAACTGCAACAATGAAGTGATGTATAGGGGCTATTTCCAGTACGTTCTGTGGTCGCTGTAATAAACTTCAGTTTTATTGGTGTGAGCTAGCCATGTTGGGTTCTTAATTTCGTCACAGTTTGTTCTAGCGAATTCTTAACTGCTTAAAAGTAGTGAACACCTATTTAAAAGCATAACGCCTTTATCAATTGCAATTTAACAGGTATCAAAAAAATACAATGGCTCATAGAGGACATGCTAAATAAATTGTCGCGCGATAAAATCAAATTTTGGCGCGATGAATGGAAATTATCGCGCGTTAAATGGAAAAATTATTGCGCCATAAATGAAAAAAACGTTCGCGCCATAAATGGGAAACTTGATAGGTCACACGTGACCGGCTGTAACGCACGTTATTTTCGTGGACAAGACGACAATGGTTGCAACAGTTGGCAAGTTCTTTCTTAATCTAGCAATTTATAAACCTGCAATGTAATCAGATAGATTAGATGATCTACACTCGTTCTCAGAGACTGACAGCCATCTCTGAGAGTGTCTTGTTAAATTCGCAAAATCAAGGTTTACTGTACTGATTCATAGAACTGTGTGTCGAATAAGTATCGTAAAGTACTGCTCAATCATCTTTTCTCGAAAATAAAACAAACTAGTGACCTCATATCATACCACGGAAACAAGGTGCGCGACAGCCCATCACGTGCGACCTAACAAGTTTCCCATTTGTCGAGCGATAATTTTTCATTTATCGCGCGACAATTTCTCATTTATCAGGCGATAGTTTGATTTTATTGCGTGATTAACAACAACAAAAATAAAACAAAACAAAATGCGGCATGTTCTCTATGGGCTATCGTAAATAATGACCGCTGTTTTGTTTTGTTTTTGTTTTGTTTTGTTTTTTTTTCTTCCCACATTCTTACTCGTTTTAAGGGCATCCTCTAGTACACCCCTAGCATACACGGGGCGTGCTCATTACACAGGAGCATCTTGGTATCTTGCAGCTTCCCAGGTCGTGATCACAATTACTAGTCTATGATCTCGCTTTCCACTCGTGAATTCTAAGCGCGATTTGTATGGTTACTGCCTCCTATAAAAGGCGAAGCCACCTATTTTATTGCTTTGTGATCACGCTATCATCACAGGCGTAGTCAGGGCGTGAAATGTTATTCCCGTGATCACGCCTTCAACAATAATTTACCGATTAAATTTACCTAATCAACATCTGGAACCGCGCACAACTCACTTACTTTGATTCAAAATTTAAAATAATCCCTTAATGGTAGAGAGTTTACACACGCAATAAAAGTCAAAAGAGATATCGAGGCCTACCAATGAACGTCACGCTCGCGCTTCGCTGTAACGAATAAACTCGGAATCAAGCGTTAGCAAAGCATTTATTTCATTTCATTTGTATATTTCTTAATCGAAATTTTTATTTGGTGACAAGAACACTTAGACAATAAGAAATTTCACGGTTTTTTTCTTTAATTTTCTTTTTCAACAACCTGATAGGAACAGGAGGGTTACAGAAGATTACAAGTGATAAACGTTATTATTTTAAGCTCCTGAAAAGAGCAATGGAAATTTTTTGTTTTTTATAGCGAATTCCTTCCTCCTCCCCTCCGTTTCTGTTGACTGCATCGCCAACCCCTAACTACCATCAGCAATAGGTATAGGTATCATTAAGTGATTAATAACAATTGAGTACTAACATTGCTTGCAAATAAATCAAGGAGTAGGTAAAGTTATATTAAGCAATCCATACTGCGAAAGCTTATACATGTACATACATGTACGCGCTAAATGTAATTCAAGTTGGTGAACAGTTCTCAATCAGTTGAGTGGCAAAAGTCGTGACTTATTCCAATTCCTCTATTATCTCTAGTTTATGATTATGGTAGACAATATTACTCACGTATGTCAATAGTGAAAAATATCGACCTTACATATTAATAGTGAATTAGTTATAAAGGCATTCACAGCGAACTGATCCGTTTCAGGCTTTTGAAAGTCACTGCACCAGGTTTAGTTCATGCACCTGCTGGAAATTTTATCATGGTTTTTCTGCCATCAGATCTTTGCTACATCACATACATTGCATTTCATATAAAGTTCACTTTACGACACTCAATTGAGATTGCTCCAGGTAAGATTAATGTATTTATTAAGAGTTGCACAATTTCTCTAAAACGTAATGATTGATTGCACTATTCTCCTCTATTTACACAGCTTAAAAAGCTGATCTACAAAATTTAGTTTCCCCTGAGTAGACCATCTATGATTTATGTTAATTTTCTTTAGGTTTACGAATAAATAGTGTTTATAGGTGTTTATCTCATTTGCTATGCATTTAAATTTCTTCTCGGTCATGGAAGATAAGTACTTGACTGGGGAATCGTGTGCAACTTCTAACCCTTAAACCTTAACCTAAAGCCAAAATTCTCAACACTGGTATTTGGGATTTCTTTCCCACGCCATGATTAGATTAATGGTTTCATAGGATTGGAACCAGGGCAATATATTTCTTTCAAAACTCTTCAGCTCGGAAACTTTTTCATTTTAGAGTGAGACTGCACTAAAAACAGTTAAACTTCAATACCAAATCGTTACTGCCTCTCGTTTGATAGTATTTTCACACTAGTCCTTATATAATCGTGTTTGTTTTCTTGGCTAAATCTATATATTATAATCGTGTTTGTTTTGTTGTTAAAGCAACTATCAGACTGAACACATCATAAGCACTAAGATACCTTTACCTGATACATGATACCTTTATCATGCCGTGCTATATATTGCGTCCTGTATTGCAGCTTCTAACGTTTTGAGAACAGAGTTTCGTCATATTTGCTGGTTATCCTGCTGATCGGTGTTCTTGCTTGTCTAGGATTTCAATATTTAAGCATTTCACTTTTCTATTATTTTATTTTGTTTTTTTTTTTTTATCAGTTATTAAGCAGTTTTGATTATTTTTGATTATTTTTACCAAAGAGATGCTTTTTAAATGGTGATTGTCAAAGCATATTTGATAGCAACAACAGGACATCATCAGCATATAAATCTATAGACGAAATAATGATAATCATAAAAAGAGGACTTCACAAAATTCCTGAAGTACGTGTTACTAGGGATCAATTAATGAGTCCTCTTATTTATATAATTTTTTGCTTCCCATTCAGTCTGTACCACAGTAGCGTGAGGGGCAAGTTGAAGGGTAAAGTTTGTAGATGAAGTAGGATCCACAATTTTTAACTGAAATTGTGATTTCATATTTGCAACCGCTAGAACGATCACTAAAGCAGACCTTCCTTTCAAGTTTACCATCTTCCACTGTAGGATGAGCATCAACCAACCACCCTGACCAATTGGTACCACATCTGTATGCTGGCACCTGCATTGTTGGCATTTTTGCTCCAGCAGCCCCCACAAAACGATACCATCCCGGAGGGAGTTGGCTGTCACACAACTCTGAACCGTCAGATGTTACGTAACTTATCTTTCTATTAGCGTCACTCAGGTTTTTATAATGATAGCATTGATCGGCTGCAAAGTGAAGTAAAAATTGCAACAGGACTTTAGTCGTTAGGCCTAATGGTTTAAGATGTTTTCTAACGTCTCATTATTCTGGCAGCTTGTCAATTAGTTGTGAAACCCGTCATATACAAGAAAAATGACTATGCATCTATAGTAAGAGATAAATAGATAGGATATCATAACTCGACGAGGCTAAAACAGTCATAATGGAAATCCAAATTGATTCAGCAGGATCTGAATTTGAGTTGGACGACAACGGCCACCTGAGTAGCAACAGGTTAGGTTTTATCCAATACTGCTTTGACGAGTTAAAAAAGTTTGTGACAAACCAAACGTACCTTCGCATTCAAAACCATTCCCAACATATGTAGGATTACAAGAGCAGTTGTATGAACCCTGAGTATTAATGCAAGAGGCATTCTGATGGCATTTTTTTCATTTCATGACTCTCGTTGCATTCGTTGATGTCTGAAAAAAATAAGTGTACTTTACCCTACAACCAAGATAGAACAAATCATAGTCCTGCAAGAATAGAGGGTTTACGGTCATTTCGTCCCATGGTCATTTCGCCAAAAGTCGGTTCGTTCATTAATCAAGGTCACTTCGCTCCATGTTACAAGTTCAATGTCTATGTGCTTACAAAATTATATTTGCCTAACTGATGTTATTAGATCTTGATGACATGTTTTTAATTGTTCGTTTCACTCCCCTTAATCTCTCTCTGTCTCCCACGCCATGCCAATGTTGTTGATGCGCTCAAAATGCGCTCAAATTTCAAGAAGAGTGTAAATGCTTACGATATTGTATGTTATAGTCGTTCGATTTATAAATACGATCTTGATGCGCCTAAAATGCGCTCGAAATTCAAGAAGTGTATATATGCTTATAAGATTGTACTTTATAATCGTCCGATTTATAAATACGATGTTGACGCCATACCGATGTTGTTGATGTGCTCGTTGATCGATGGTCGATTGAATTTCAAAAAATTGTAGCCCTGTACAGTATGGACTGCATGCATGTAAAACAACTTTTTGTTAAACATTTTCGTGGTTCAAGGGGTAATTTGTTCAAGGACTTAAAAAGCGACTGAGATCTGGGCGTAGTTAAAGAGCGATTGAGTCTAAATGTCTTTGTTTGATTGCACACTTTGTTTGGCATTCACTTGTAGCGCTTACATAGAGACAAAGTCAAACACAGTCCGTTGATCGATTGATGGCGGATCGTATTTGAAAAACTTTGTAAACCATCTGCGGCTTTTACCCTGTAAAGTTTCAACGACTAAATTGTGACTGAACAGTGACAAGTGCTTCACAGCTTTTCATGGGACGGGCTCTTCATAAGCGGGGTGCTTGTTTGACACGAAAATTTAATATCGGGCGAGACAGAAAACAAGACCCAAACCAAGTCGGACATGCGAACTGCTTGCACTATAGACGGAGAGAGAATGTTTGATAGAACAGAGCGACTATCTAACATACAGATTCTGGGTCTCTTCTCGAGACTGCGCCTTAAACAGAGATCTAAAACACAACAAGAATCGAATGACATCACAGATTCAGACGACGGAGACGACAACTTGATGGAGGCGTAAGCGTCTGATGTAGACGGAGGGTGTTTGAGAGAGGCGAAGAACACAGTAATGGATGAGATAGGACTAAAACACCAGTCATGTTTGATATCTACGAAAAGTTTGAAATCACCACGGCGAAGGAAATTAATAAGTGCAAGATGTTCTTATATTTTTCTGCTGCCAATCATCTTATTAGAAGGAATAAAGCGGAGTTTTCAAAGGCTTGGTCTTGAGTTGAGCAATCTCAACCAAGAAAGAAAGAGTACTTTTGAGTACAAAACATAGGGTTGAGCTAAAGCTGTCACGCCATCTTCCAAGTTTTACTTTGTCTGACCATTTCTCGAACTTCTCTCTAGCATTTTTTCGCTAGTCGAACGTGAAATTTCAAAATGAGCGAACCGGTAAGTCGCATCAGAAGAACCAAATGAAAGTGAGCAGAGGCGTAAACGCTACTCGACTACGTCTCGTGTTTCTTTCTACACTTCTTTCGTGATCTAGCCGCTTCTTGCGTGCTTCACAACAAAATAGAGCACAGTCAACAGTTCTTTCATTCAAATTCACCTGTGCAATTTTGTCCATCTCCAGTATATCCAGGCTGACATTCACATACATGTGATCCAATGGTGTTCGTACACTTTGCATCCTCGTGACAAGAATGGTTTCCGTTACACTCGTCCACATCTAAGTAATCACAGACAGGAAAAGGATCTCACAATTACCTTAAAATTGCTGTGAATCAGCCATTGCCTTGTTGAAGATTGCAAGCCATGGCTATTGTCAATCCTTAACTGGATTGCAAGAACAAGAGATTTTCTCAAATGAGGAAAACAAGTTAACTGGCACTACACATGGTTTAGTCGGTTAACTGCCTCCCGCTACGTTACAAAATTAAATCTTGGCTTTCCACGGTATTAAAACAAAACAAACAAACAAAAACAACAACATCAAACAAAAATTTGTTATAATAGTCAAAACGAATATGAAGGCTTCTGAGATTATTGTTTGTACCTGTACAGTTGTGTCCATCTCCAGTATATCCAGATTTGCATGTGCAAACGTGTGATCCGCGCGTGTTGTTACAAGTAGCATTGACGTGACATTTGTCGGGGTATGTTTTGCATTCGTCAATATCTGTCAAAAAAAGGAAAAAAGAGAAAATAAAGAAAAAATGGGATTTGGTTTTTATTCAAAAGTCATACATGTCATGTCTATGAAAAAAGTGGAAAACTCGTTTGCAATTTTTTGGTTTCATGCGATTTTCGCGTTGGACCTGTAGGATTATAAAAAGTGCTTATCCGTGTGGGAGTGGCAACACTTAGCCTGTAAAAACAAGTCTTTATGTCCCTTTCTGTCTTTTTCAATGCTTCCCTCGCTCCCTCAGATGATTCATACAAATATGAGAGCCGTGCTGCGTTGACATTGTACAGGTAGAACAGGTCGTCCAGAATGAAAGTTTCGTTATGTAATAAAAACCCAAATAAACTCATTCAGAAATGACCCATTTCGAATAAATTTTACGCTGGTTATTATGTGGCAACCGGTATGAACTCGTTCTTGTACAAAACTCATTCGGATATCATTTAAAAGGCCCCTAAAAGTTTTTATTCCCAGAGCATCACGCTTTGCTCGCCTGTCTGAATACTAAAATTTTCAGTGGCGTTAAAGCTACAACCGCTTTTAACTGCTTCGCTGCTGCTGAAACAACGATTAGTGAAGAAAGCACATATTTTAATATTTTCAACTCAACGTAAACAAAAATCTTTATAAATGGTAAATATTCACTAGTGTCGGTATCAACTATCGCGTGACTAGCTTATGATATAAATGAGGGAGTGGAAAACACAACGCAAAACCTGAGCTCCTTTCAAAAAGTAATACCCAGGCGTAATATGATAATCGGAACGGCTAATAAAATCATAAATAAACAAGATAAGAGTGTTATGTTAGACTTTTGTACAAATTGTAATGATTTATGCAAATTAACGGTGGCGACAAGTAGGCGCACCATGTACATTTTATAGTCGCTATTAAGTAAATTTTACCGGACTTTGAGTTCGTCTCAAAAAAGAACAACACAAATACACAAGGAAATTTTATAGTAACTTTATAACCATTCTTTGGTCTTTTAAAAGCTTGAAGCTCAATAGACTGTGTCATATCGGTCATTGTTAAAACTGTCATTGTTTTGATGCTACTTTTCGACATAGGAAAAGTATGTCGGATAAAAATATTCACCAAAAAATAAATATTTCTTTGGCAGCTTCAATAACGACAGGGGATTAAGTTTAGATGATAAAACAAAGGATTATGTTCACAGAAATACTGTAGTTCTAGTACATTCTATACATGAGGTCACACAACTCGGGTAATATTCACGGTGAAAATTTGCATATTTGAGCGGTCGTACGAAAATAGTCATTTCTCGAAAACTAAAATATATTTCCGCATAAAAACTACACCAAAATTATTAGAACATATTGGGCTACAAAATATAAAAGTAGGAGAGAAAACGAATTTTGGGCGACTTGCCACAATATTTTAAATTTGTTCGATGGATGCTGATATCCTCTTTAATAACTTATAGTCAGGTAACTGTCTCACCTACTTTGGAAAAAATTAAAACATGGCTTGCCACGTTACCAAAATAAACATCAACAAACAACCAAACAAACAAAAACTCATTACACTATTCAACAAGAATCTAAAGGCTTTTGAGACTATTGACGGTTACCTGTACAATTATGCCCATCTCCGATAAATCCAGGTTTGCATATGCACACGTATGATCCGTGTGTATTATTACACGTAGCCTCCTTGTGGCATATGCCAAAGATTGCTTCACATTTATCTGACGTAAAATTAGAAAGAAGGAAGGACAAAAACAATAAATAAATGAATAAATATCAACTACAGATATAAGCATTTTTATTTATATCAAATAGCCATAGGAACTCAGCAATTAACGAAAACCTCGATTTATTTGTAGCTTCCTGCTTTTAGTGGTTCTCTGGCCGTACTTTTCAATTAAGCTATTATTTCTGAGCTTTCTTTGCAGTTACTATATTAAGTATTCGGCACACATATGAACTGCTCTTATTTTGCCATGGAAAGGCGTCGAACATTCAAGGTAAATAGAAAAATAAAACAAAAAAACAACAAACAAGCAGACAAACCAAAACAAAATGAAACGAAAATATACAAAGGAGCGAGCGAATAACACATTACACACGCTCAATAAAATAGGGTATGAATTTTTTCTTTGATTCTAAGATTCAGCACCTTATACAATGAGAGAAATTCAAGTCACTTAGAGCAACTAGAGAACAGTTGTCATGCCAGCATTGAAAATCAAAAAAAATCTCATAGATGTTAATTTCAGGTGTTGACTTAAAAAACTCATACTCTTTTCACAATATTCTCCTTCGAATCCAGGAGGACACAAGCATCGATATCCCTTGAGTGTAAATCCAGACTGGCAAGTTGCGTTATTTTCGCAGTAGGGACTCTTGTTGCAAGCGTTCTAAAAAAGAAAAAATAAATAAAATGAAAGAAGAAACGAAATTCCGAATGATCATAATGCATAAACATTAATTATTGTTATTATATTATTCAAAGGCGATATTTCGAAAAATCGATTTGTAACTCACCTTCGAGCCACGATAATAAAAATTCGCATCAGTTGTCAAGTCACTGTCGTATTTCAGATGAGTGGCGTTATTTAGTTCACAGATGTGAAGCGGTTCCTCATCCTCTGGATCTTTTTTGAAGTTAAGACTGACACAGTCGTCGTTCAGGTAGCACATTAGCTCACAGTCATCCAAGTTAGTAACATTTTTCTTTTCAATGGTATGGTTTACCAAACATCTTTCAGCAAAGAAATAGTAGTCCGGAAACACCATTGCGCGCTCTCGCACCAAAATAGACAAATTGGAATATGATTATAAGGCATACTTTTCCGTCGCAAAAAAAAGAAAATTCGAGTAAAAAGTTCTAAGAACAATTCTCTATGCAAAAATTCTCGGATCTCAGCAAACTATGGTGGCAAATGCGTTAAAAACGTAAGTCAAACATAGCAGTCGGTGAGAAAAACGATGATTCGTTAGATGTAATGGGAAATTTTGTGAACTGCTTCGCCGTTTTCTACAATTAAACAATAACATGAAGATAACTTTATTTGAGAGTTTGGGGGTTTCTGAGATACGGAACATCTACGGCAAATATTTCGTGTTTCACATGAGTTTGGCAATTCGAGAAGCTCGTACGTTTTTAGATGGGTCTATCATATCGATAGAAAAGACGAGCTCATCGAACACTCTGTGAAATTCCTACCACAGAGAGAGTTAAGAGAGAGTTAATGTTTGCATTTTTTGATGTATTTTTCATCAGTGCAATGAACGCAATTTAAATTCTTTTATAGGGAGCCTTTAATATCTCAAAAACGTTGACCAGGGATGGTGAAAAAGTGTAAAGTTTTTTTTCTTTTTTTTTCTTTATTTAAACAGGTGCTTGGCTATTAAGTGTTTATTACATAAATGTATAACTGAAAAGCTCCTATTCGGCTCTTTCCTTCGAACGATTATCGTGAACAGAGGGAATTCATGCAAATCTCAGCCAAGAAAAATCATTCTTGTTTTGCGTCAATGAGCAGATTTGTATTCGTTTTCGAAAGTTTTCTAAACGGGCAAATGAGGAATGAAATTTTATTTCTTTTATTTTTGCGAGCCAATGTAAGTCGTTTGAATTGTTTAGCTATGGTGAATATAATTATCTCCGTTATTTGTTTTTCGAAACAACTCATTTATCTGTTCGTCGTGTTAGTTCATTAGTTGTTTTTCTCGTGTCAAATAAAGTGCACCCAAATCATTTTTCTGCCATTGAAAAATGTTGATCACAGCAACAGAGTTTTTAAAACACTGAAAATATATATTTAAATAAATTTTAGTCTCAGGAATCCTTGCTGGGATATTGATTATGAAAGAGCACAAAATTGGAAAATTACACGAATCTTCTGTGCAAAGGTTTTGTTGAGGATCATCTCAATTAAGCTATTTGTTCTTTTGCAAGTTTTAAAGCCTCCAATTCGAAAAGTAACATTTAAAAGGATTTTGCGTCAGAGGTTTTATTTTTTCAATCCCACACAATGATTAAATTATATGAAGACGGGCTACCCTATTCTTATAGGCAAATATTTAAAACTACTATAAATTGGTCTATTCCAAATGCCAGCATTGTCCTTCTATAAAAATAACTTCGCTTAAGTTGGCTAAGAGCGTCCAATTTTTTTTCCATGCAAATTATCGAATTCCCGTCTGCAACACAACAACGAAATGTTTTTAATAGAATTGATTATCCTTCCATGTAAATATGAGCTGATGAGCGTTAGGATTGAAGTTGTTTTGAATGAAGCAATTCTTCATTGTAGCAGTTCTTACTTTTTTTGTAACAACTGAAAATTTCCGATATGGTTCATCATAATAATACGCCTTTGTTAAATACTGTTAATATCTACAAAAGAAGTTTACAAGACTGAGGTTCCTTCCTTTAAAAATCATCTTTTTTGAATTGAGGTTTTTAATTTTGTCATAACGACAGGTTAATAAGCTCAGTACATCAGCTGTTGTAAATCAGCGAAATAGAAATAAAGAATGACGGAAAATAAGATAGCAAGGGCTGGAGTATGAATATAGGGATGGAAAATGATGCGCATTTTGTAACTCACCTTTACCAAACGTCAAGTAAGTCGTCGATGAAGTCCAGACTGCGAATACCAAAAACGCTGAAAATTCCATGCTTCCTCAAAACAACGGAGCTCAGTATTGATGCTTTCAGTGTGCCACAAATTTCGCTTCGACCACCTGTATTTGATAATGAATTTAAGTGATAGAAACCGACCTATTAGTATTAAAAATGGGATGTTAACATAATTAACAGTTGTCAGTCCTGACCCTGCAAATAATATACGTGGGTACGCGTTTTAAAGCTTGCGAATGAACACGTTTCCAATGTCTTCCTTTGTGCCAATTAGAAACACTTTGGTTTTGATGGGCTATGATTCTATCGGTGTTCATCAACAGATTAGAAAAAGGGATTTTACTACACAAATTTCCATAACATTAACTTCAATTGCTTCATAATTATAGTCAATGGAGTGCGTTTAAGACAATAACATCATAAAAATATTCTTAAGAACATTAGGTGAATAATGTCATAGAGTCACATAAAAAGCCAAGTTCCCTTGAGTTTCTAAGAACTCCCAATTTTCAATATCAATCCATAAATTCAACGTTTCTTCGTTTGTGTGTTTGTTTTGTTTTGCTTTGTTTTGTTTTTTTTGTTTCATTCTCAGGGGAAACTCCTTACAAGTTTAATTGAAGCGTCAATAATTGACGAAAAGAAAATTCTCACAAAAATATGGTAATAAAAATAGATCTTAGGTACCGAAAGTCCCTCTCACGAAATCCTGCGGATAATGGTAATCGGTGTGTGGGAGCAGACAGGCTGGCGTAACCTTATCCGCCTAAAAAAAACATTCAGTTAGCTTTCATTTTCCAAAAACACGAATTCTTTATGAAGACTGTATCTTGAAATATGTCTGAAATTATAAAATATGCCACGTACTTGGATAGATTGTGAGTCTCTTGTTCTAATTCGACAAAATGAATAAGAGAAACTCCTTTTTGAATTTAAAATATCGTGTTTGAAGTTATTAAGCTGTACCTCCCACTTCACTACAGCGAGCAAAATATTTTCTTGTTTGGCCCTCCTACTTACTCGAAATAATACAGGAACGCAATAATTTGAAGTCCTAAGTTATTAGCCATTTCATCTTCCCCGACATTCATTAACGTCAAAATTGATTAATGACGAGTTCTAATAAGCTCTTTAGTTTGAAGAAACAATAAATCTCCCCTAGATGGTGGATATTAAACAACAAAAAATTCCATAAATTTTCTGAGCAACTTACGACCTATGTCTCGATACATAAGGATTGAATAAAGATCGTCAAAGAAGAACCCCTGAATGTTGTTTTAAACGCCATTTTCATCTCAAAGATAATAGCAAAACTGATGTTTGCAAAAGGTGTACCGTAATTTATGATTGGATTCATCCAAACCATTCAGTATGGGATCTGGCTTCCAAGGCCTTCATTGGAAGAACCTTTAAATTATAAGACATTTTCAGGTTTTCTTCCGTTAGATAAAATTGTTGCAGACCTAAGGTTAAAGAGACATGTGGGCCAACATTTGGTTCCCGACTTATCTTTCTGATGGGAAGCCATGTAAATCAACTTCCATATTTTTTCGAGGTTCTTCTTGTTCAAAATAATCACTTTTGTCATAATATGAACGGAATTCAAATGAGCTGCATATTGGTCTAAGTTGAGGGATAGGACAAAACAATCTGTGAAAGGAAATCTTTCTAAGTACAGAAAAAAACAACTGTAATTTTTGGCAAGTTAGATATTTCAAATGAAGAAGATTTTTGTTATCAACTCTATTTTTCTTTACCGTAAATTGAACCCAAACAGCGGACTTCGTCACTGCATCAATACCTCTCTCATCACTTTATGGAATTTCCAGTCGTTTCGAGTTTCACAATTTGTGACGAGCTTGGAACCGCCAGCATTGACTTTTTATAATTTGGCACTTTTCTCTATTTACGGTAATGATGGAACTACAATTTCTACAGAAGTAAACCCTTGTAGGAAACTAAAATTAAGGACAATGATCTTGTTTATTTCAAATAGCGTGCTGTTTTTTCGCCAAAAGTTTGTTATATCCACATTTGAAAGCTCGGTATTTTTCATTTTCGTTTTTTTCAGCCGCACAAAAATAAAGAGGTTAAGAGTGGATATTCAATTTACATCATGGAATGAAAGTCAAACTCAAGTTATCCATGCATTAAATATATCACTTTATACCCTCAAATATTCAACGTTCTTTGGCGCCCAACTTTAGTGTTATTGAGCCAAACGTGCTTTCTTTTATTACTTTGTGGTAGGTATGGTTACGATATATAAACTGTTGGTTTCAAGCCAAGATGAATATTAATATTAGAAATGAACTACTTTCTTCCTGTTTGGGCTCTTTGCACCAAAAGCTAGACTCGTAAAATAATACTAGGTAAAAAATTTAACCTAATTCGCTTTCATTTTCCAAAAAAGATGAATTCTTAATTTAGACTTTATCTTGAAGTAAATCTGAAATTATAAAATAAGTCGCGTTCTTTGATGGATTGTGAGTCTCTTGTTCTAATTCGACGAAATTAATAAGAGAAACTCTTTTTTGAATTTCGAATATCGTATTTGTAGTTGTTAAGACGTACCACCCGCTTCACTACATCGAATAAAATATATTCCCGTTTTGCCCTGCTAATTATTCGAAATAATACAGGAACGCACAAAACTAAAATAATTTTAAGTCCAAATTGATAAGTCATTTTATCTTCCCTCGCATTCATTAACGTCAAAATCAATAAATGACGAGTTCTAATAAGCTCTTTAGATTGAACAAACAGAAAATCTCTCGTAAACGCCTGATCTTAAAATACAGAAATTCAATAAATTTGATGAGAAAATTACGACCTATGCCTCGATGCATCAGGATTGTATGAAGACTGTCAATGGCTCATTATAATAACACACCCTTTCTAAATACCATTAATGTCAACAAAACAAGTTTACAAGACTAAGGTTCCTTCCCTTAAAAAATCATGTTTGTTGAGTTCAGGATTTTAGTTTTGTCACAATGACCAGTTATAAGCTCAGAGCATCAACTATAGTGAATCAGCAAATAAAAATAAAGAGTGATGGGAAATAACACGAGCTGAAATGAATTATTTTTAAACAGAAATAACACCACCTCCATTCGATAATGGGTTAAGTAATAGATACCGACCCTTCTGTATTGAATATGGGATGTTAACTAAATTAATAGCAGTCAGTCCAGACCCATTGAAATGATTGAAGCAAATAAAATACGTGGGCACGCGTTTGGGATATATGGAAAGACTTTGGATTTGGCGAGTTACGATTCTATCGGTGTTTACCTTCAGTTTAGACTCAGGGATTTTGCCACAAAAATTTCCATGACTATAGTCAATGGAGTGCGTTTAAGGAAATAACTTTATAAACATATTCTTGAGAACATTAGATAAACAAACTCCGTTACTGCAGTCACATAAAAAGTCAAGTTCTTTCGAGTTTCTGAGAAACAACACCTTCAAATTTACAAGATCGATCCATGGATTCAGCGTTTTTTTTTTGTTTTTTTTTTTTTTTTTTTCTTTCTTTTTTTTTTTTTAATTATCAGGGGAAAACACCTCATAAAATTGATCGAAGCGCCTCCAAGGCCTTCATTGAATACCTTCTAAATTATAAAACATTTTGAGGTTTTCCTTCGTTAGAGAAAACTGCTGCAGACTTAACGGGACCTGTGAGCCAACAATTAGTTCCCGACTCATTTTTCTGATTAGGAGACATGAAAACCAACTTCCATATTTTTCAAGGTTCTTCTCTTTCAAAGTCATCAATTTTTGGAGGATAAGACAAAACAATTTTTGAAAGGAAATCTTCATAAGTACAGAGAGAAAAAACATCCATAGTTTTTGACAAGTTGGATATTTCAAATGAAGAAGATTTTTGTCGTCAACTCTATATTTTTTTTACTGTAATTTGAACTCAAACAGCGGGCTTCGTCACAGCATTAAATCCTCCCTCATCGCTCTTTGGAATTTCCTATCGTTTCCAGTTTCACAATTTGTGACGAGCTTGGAACCGCCAGCACTGACTTTTTATAATTTGGCACTTTTCTATATTTACGGTAACGATGGAACTACAATTTCGAGGAGGGGTATAATTATAAAATTAAAGAAATATCACTGAGAAAAGGTTCAAAAAGGAATCCCGTTGTAGGAAACCAAAAATTAAGGATAACGATCTTGTTTATTTGAAATAGCTGAAGATGTTTTCTCGCCAAATGATTTTTTATACCCACATTTGGAAGCTCGATAAATTTCATTTTCGCTTGATTTCAAGTACACAGAAATAGAGGAGTCAAGAGTGGATATTACATTTATATCATGGAATGAAAGCCAAACTCAAGTTATCCATGCATTAAGTATGATCATTTCTTACCTTCAAAGATCCAACGGTCTGTGGTGCCCAACTTTAGTGTTATTGAGCCAAATGCGTATTCTTTTATCGCTGTCTGTAGCTATGGTTACGATAGAAACTGTTGGTTTCAAGCCAAGAGGATCATTTATATTAGAAATGATTTTCCTTCTTCCTGTTTAGGCACTTTGCACAGAAAGCTAAACTGGTAAAATAATACCAGGTGAAAAATTTAATCTAATGCAACGGATTGATTTGGAGTAATGCTTCTTGGACTATGAATTGTTATTATTAATTCCTTGAAAGTGTCCCCTGTGGTCAGGTGCCAAAGGTGTTATAATCATATAATTACTGACCCCCGTAAAACCTTATTGTGCTCCTTCTGCATTATATTAGCGATTTCAGTCCAAGAAGGTTATTAGGTCTCCAGTACGGTCCAATTTTCTAATGAAAATGAAGGCGATTTTTTTTAGATATTAACCACCTAAATGATGAAATACACGAAATGACATATGACAAAGTCAAGCACCAGTTTCAATGAACATGTGCTTGACTATTGAGTGTTTATCAAAAGAATGTAAAGCTGAAGAGGTTCCCTGTGGCTTTTTTCTTCGAACGGTTATCGTAAACAGAGGAAATTCATGCGAATTGAAGCTGAAAAAAAAACATTCTTGTCTTGCGTCAATGAACAGATTTATACCAGTTTTCGAACGTTTTCTAAGCGTACAAGTCTAGAATGACATTTTTAAAGTTTTACTTTTGCTAGTCAACGTAGGTTGTTAGAATCGCTTAGCTGTGGTGAATATAGTGAACTAACATAGTATCACAACCTTTCTATATACCATCAATGTCTTCAAAACAAGTTTACAATACTACGGTTCCTTCCCTTAAAAATCATGTTTGTTGAGTTCAGGATTTAAGTTTTGTCATAACGACCCGTTATAAGCTTAGTGCATCAACTGTTGTGAATAAGCAAAATAAAAATAAAGAGTGATGGGAAATAACACGGGCGGAAATAAATTAGTTTTAAACAGAAATAACACCACCTGCATTCAATAATGGATTAAGTAATAGAAACCGACCTTTTTGCATTGAAAATGGGATGTTAACAAAGTAAATAACAGTCAGTTCAGTGCCATTGAAATGATTGACGCAAATAAAATACGTGGGCACGCGTTTTAATTTCTGCTCATAAACGCATTTGTGGTGTTTTCCGTTTTGCTTTAAAGGAAGACTTTGGATTTGGCGCGCTACGATTCTTTTGGTGTTAACCTACAGATTATACTCAGGGATTTTGCCACATAAATTGCCATAACATTCAATTGCTTCATAATTACATTCAATGGAGTGCGTTAATGAGACGAAATTCTGAATTTTGTTGTTAATCGCAACTTTGATCTTAAGGATTATAGCAAATTGATATTTAGGAAGGGTGTGACGTAATTTATGATTGGATTCAGCCGAACCATCCAGTATTGTATTTGGCTTCTAAGGCGTTCATAGGAATATCTTTTAAATTATAAAAAAATTGTCAGGTTTCCTACATTAGATAAAATTGCTGCAGATTTAAGGTAAATGAGACCTGCAAGTCAACATTTAGTTCCCGACTCATTTTCCCTCTGGGAGCCTTGCAAATTAACTTCCATATTTTTCAAGGTTCTTCTATTTCAAATCATCACTTCTGTCATAAAGTGAACGGGATTCAAACGAGCTGCATATCAGTGGTTACGATAGAAACTGTTGGTTTCAAGCCAAGATGATCATTAATATTAGAAATGAACTTTCCTTTTCCTATTTGGGCTCTTTGCACAAAAAAAAAACAAAAACAAAAACAAACAAAAAAACAACGAAAACAAAACAACAAAAACTAAATTGGTAAAATAGTAGCCGGCGAAGAATTTAACCTAATGGAACGGATTGACCGGAGAATGCGTTTTGGACAATAAAATGTTAGTATTAACTCCTTAAAACTGTCGCCCCTTGCGTCGGGTGCAAAAGGCATTATATTTATAGATCGTTGTTGTAATTTATGTCAAACAAACGCAATGCAGATGAATTTGAGAGAAAATACGATAGACTTCAATAAGAACTCAAGGGAAGTCCGGCAAAAATGGTTTTGACTTTCATCAAACTGTAACGTAATTTTAGTTTGAAAACTTACTCTGGTCTCGAGGAAGTCTTGGACCAAATACTGACGATTCGTGTTGGAAATTATTTTTCTGTCAAATTTTATATCCATTTTGCGCGAAAGCCATAATGACCATAATTCACGGACTACAAGCATAAGCAACACACACGATTTGCTCGAACCTCAAGGTCTTTCAGCTACAATACAAATTCAAGTTGACAGTGAGGACAAACATATTAAACAAAATTTGCGATGCAAATTGATATGCCAAATACAGCGAATGTATAGCTAAATACATTTGAGCTTGAAAGTTTTTAATCAGTCATCGACAGTGAAGTTGAAATGGATTAATGGCGCTGCAAATATTTAAGAATTTGTTGATGCTTAGCGTGCGTATTTCGAGTTAGGATGCACTCGGGAAGTTTGGAAAGCACGAAAAATGCATAAGGGTAGCTCGAGTCGCAGCCGAGAGCAACGCTAGCTTTTTGAGTGTTCTCCAAACTTCCCAAGTGCATCCATAACTCGATATACGCACAGCTAAAAGCATGAGCAAATTCTTTTACAACAGAGCGCCAACAAGGATCTGTGCGAAGAAGCCTTTTATTGTGATATTGTTTGGGTTTTGGTAAATTCCCAATTAACAACTGTGTACTTTATTCCCCAGGTTGAACAAATTTTAGAACAACAATTAAAACGGAAATTTTACCATTAATGTTGATAATGACCAGTGGGTGACCTTTTTTGTTCCCAGTGAATGTCTTTCGGCCAAATTTGCTGCAGCTGGTCTACTGATAAATTTGCGAAACGTGCAATTTGCGAGTTTTTTAAATTTATTTTTGTTGCTTATTGGATCAGGACCTAAAAGGTCAATGCCGATAGAAAAATTGGGTAGTCCTTCGCCGGTTTCTTCCTTATTTCAAAGAGAAAGAAAACTGCATTGCAGCTTAACAGGACGGAACCTCTGAAGCCGGGTAAAAAAAAAATGCTCACGTCATCTTATGTACGCACGTGCATGCGTAAATAAAGATTTTGTTCATAGCGGCTCAATAGGACTTATATAGGGCAAACACGCGCGCTATGTTTTAAGGCAATTTTTCTTTTTCGTGATACGCAGGTTCTTGTAATTTGCTTGCGTTCTTTCAACATTACTCATATTTATTTGAATTGTCTAATGTCTAGTCTCAAGAAACTTTAAATCAATACGTAATGATGGCTCGAAATTACTTCAAAATTTCCGGCTATTTTTGTCAAATCGTTGCTCTTCTTCCCAGGGCTTTGTCACCACAAGTTAGACAAAAGGCACAATGTTTTCCATTCGTATGATGAAATCATCGCATCGCAACAACCTGACACGATGAAACATTTAGCCGGCTTCACGCGCTCTTTAGGAGTTTTAAAACATAGTTCAAGCGCACTTTTACCAGAATAAACAATACATATTCCTTATCATTTAACATAGTAAATGTTTTGTTCAAGATGACAGACGAGGCAGATATACCAGAAGCTATTAATGTCTTTCTATGAGACACAAAATTACTTCATTAATAAATGATCTCTTATGTTCTTTCCAGCTTGCCTTATTCTTCGGTGGAAAACGCGGATTTTTTTTGCTTTGTTTTGTTTTTACTTTTCCAATTAAAGAAATTTAAAATGAAAAAAAAAAAAAAAAAAAAATATATATATATATATTCGTTTAAAGGTACTCGAACTTTTAATTTACACTTAAAATTGTTTAAGTTCTCATTAAGAGTGATATGCCATTGAAAAATGGCAGAGCAATTTCGAACTTCAATTTAATCAAAGAAATAAAACGTTGGAAAAATTGTATGAGCCACAAATTTAGTTCGTAAGTCTCTATTGTTTAAATTACAATTGGATTAATCTCGACTCAAGGATGGTTTAGTCTCTGAAATTGACAACTCTCAAACAATCTTTAGAGCTTATGTACGGACGAATTTTTTTTGAATGAATCTTTCTTTATGTTTCTGTTTGTTTCTGAGGCGAGGAACTGCATATAAATTCAAGAAAATGTTCCAGAAAAGAATTTTGAAATTGTTTCGAAGACAGCTTTTAAAACATGGGATTCATCTCAGCTATAAGAGACTCGCATTTTTCAAGGAACTCAGTTAGCGTGCGTCGCTCTAGTTGTAATCAGATAGTTGTCTTCTAACTGTTGACTGGTCTTATTCGTGTTTTCAACGAAATAGAGAATACTTCATCTAGGCAGGCGATAAATTGCCTTTTTTTTTTTTTTTGCAACAACCAAAAGACCAAAATGTTGGAGTATAGTTCATGTAGAGTTATTTCCAACGATTAAGATTCATCTTTTGTTAACTGTGTTTCGGTGGCGCCTTAAAACGAAGTAAGTGCATGCATATGAAGTATATGGAGTTAACAATCTAGGAAATGCTGAGTATTGTGGTGAAGCTTGCAAGATTTACCTTGCGAAGCATCTTGTATGTTATTGTCTTCATCCTGAATCTCGCATCTTATACTTCACAAAGGGTAAATTATAATTGGCCTGGTTTTTACTCACGCATTCATGAAATAATCGGTTCGGGAGGTCAAACCCAGCTTGCCATAGCAATGCTACTAACGCTGAAGGAAAACGGCCTTTTAGCCATGATGGAAACATTACAGTATTTATGGTCTTAAAATAATGTAGGAACATCAAGAGAATGTCTCTGTAAGAGCAGTCCGGTCGATTTTGCTTGAGACACGGATTTTGCTCGTTTCTCGTGTGTTGTAAGACATCCATGTACCTACACTAAAACCGCAATCAGTTTGATCGGATCTCTTTATTTTTCAGAGTTTTACGGAAATTAAATTTCACTCGAGCGAAGGCTTGTCGCGACACTTTTCAAGACTTTAATTTCATAAAACTTTGGAGGACAATTTATTAAAAACTACGGAACTCAGCAAAAAACAAATATCACAGCCATGTATATTAACTCTATCTTATCTATCGAGGCGACTTTCGTAAACATCATGTGTCAATCAAGGAAACAGGAAGACTTGAATGACACCTTATCGGTTCGCCTAAATCACACACGCCAAAACCGATCAAATTCAAGGTAAATTTTTGAAAAAGTGAGGCGTTCTTAACTGATTCAACTAACATAGCTAGGAAGTAGGTGCCATAGAAAAGGTAACTACAGAAAAAAACTTTGCGGCCCGACCTTTACGAGAACTTTATAACTCCGTGAACTTATCTAATTTTCGGCAATCTCCAAGTTTGGCCGCCATTTTGAGGGACTTATCAACATGAAGCGTAACCGATATAAATCAAGCAGGTAGATCTAAAACCGTAAGAAATACATACGAAAGCAATTCAAATGAACTTTACTTTCAATTCAAGCGGCAAAATTTGAAATTCGTCAAACTTACAATCCCCATGCGAAACATGTTTTACATGTTTTTGCTCAAAAGTTTTGTCGCTTCCTTTAAATTCTTTACTTGCCTGCTAATATCAAGACCCTTCAGAAATAATGTTATAAATAACAGGGGTCTTTGAAAAAAATAGTGATAGAAAAGGTTTCAGTTCTGGTCAATATTGACTTTTCACAGCCTCCTTCCAAATCTGAGGGAACGCGCTGAGGGGATTAAAAAAACATGCAAGTGTGATAATGCAAGAAAGAGAATAAAAATAGAAATAAAGAAAAAGGAGAAAACATAAGAACCCGTGTTGCAGCGTGCAGATATCTTTTAAGCCAGACCTACACACCTAGGCCCGACACCACGCAAAGAAACTCGACAGAGTGCTGTATAGCAACTGGATCGCGCGTGCATGCGGGAAAAGCCCTGACAATCAGCGAAAATATACCAAATTCAGACGATATCTGCAGTCAAAAGAAAGGCCAATTAAATAAAAGAAGGGTTAAGAACTTTCTAGAAGCGTTTTCTTGAAAAAGAAGATGAATAATTTTTACTTCTCTGAAAGGTCACGCAGTCACACTACAAATATTATTTCTGCGTGGAATTTCTTGATGGTGGAAAGTGGAAAACCTTTTCCAGTCTTAATTTCTGGAAACATGGCGCAGTTAATGAATTTTATGGGGCTGTTGATATTTCCTTTCAAATGAGGGTGGTAAGGTTTCCTGTCATCCTTGGTCTGGAAAAGCCGAAGATGTTACACACGGGAACTTGTGCTTCAACAAGCACGCGACATGTGACTTTAAAATCTCCTCTCCTGTTACAGTTTCCTTATTGTGAACTGTGCGATAATGATCATAAACAACCAAATTATAGACTAATTAATGTTTTATTCTGTACAAGAGCCCTATTTCCTGGTTTTAGCAAATCTTCAAAGTATTCAAAGTAATAAACGACAGAAGAAAGAAACGCTAGGATTTCCCCATCGATTTTTCGCCTACATTCATCTCTCTTAGCGTGAAATTTCAGTTCCTTCAAAAAAAAACCTCGAAAGTTTTTCACATTTTTTAGCTTTCGTGATCAATCATCTTGAAAGAAGAGCTAAAAAATGTGGGTATATTTGGTCACTGTCTACAGCCAGAATTGCGTGACAGGTGACAGAGAAACTTGTCCCAGTTGCAGATTTTAAAAGGCATCCAAGAAAAAAATTCAGTAGTGCCCAAAGATTTTTTTGATGGTTTTCAGAGATGAAATGATAGATTTTAAAGGGGAATTAAGATTATTGTTGTACCTTTCTGGCAACTGAGGGGAGATATTTGATCTCAAAGTTGTCAAATATTTAAATGAATCGAAAAGTCTAAAAACACAGTCGTTTACTTGCCTCTGTTGATTCACAAGCCGTCAATCAAATTGACTGATACTTGCGTCGAACATTTACTAAGGATGATATTAATATGTGTGCAAACCTTCAGAGTAATTGGTTAAATGCCATTGCGGTGAGAGCTTCATACATTTTACCTATTTTGATAGGCGATTTCCTTAGTGAAAACCAAGAAAAACCGGGGGATGGTCAATCTCCCCCCGGAAAAAACCAAAACAGAAACCACTTTGTCTTTTTTAGTTTTGGAGTAGACCCTTTAAACTGACAAACTTTCATTGAACTCGGTGAGATGGCATACAGCACGATTGCCCGGTGCTCTCGTAGACACACTCTTAGTTTTACAAACACAATGCAATCTAGGATTTACTGAAGAGGGATGTAGACAAATGTCGGATGAGGATAACATTTTTGGTCCTTGGAAAGTTTAATTTCCTACATTTTTGGGGTCTTTGTTGGTTGTTTCGGGCCTTAGGACCAACTGAGGTTTTAGTGATTTAAACATCCACCATGTTCAACTAAGTTCTTTATCAGATAGCGCGGCTTCTAAACGTTTTTTCTACTGCTAGATTCCCCCCACTCTTCCCCAGATTTCCAAGGCGTTAATGACGCGTTTGCTATATCATCCTGTTAAAGCAAAACTGATATTATATTTCATTGTTAAATCATGATGTCATTACAAAGTAACTGAGATACTACAAGCGCCCTGACAGATCAATTTCTATCGTTTACTGCACCGGTAATCCCATAGAAAGTTTGACCATACTGGGTTTTGCGTTGAGTTTACTTTATAGAAGCAATAGGCGGTACTCTCTTTCGGATAACTGGCGTTATAAACGAAAAGTCTTACAATCACTCGACTCCTACCTCCGGCTCGTGATTCACACAATTTTCTCGTGTTCTCCCAACGTCATGCATTGGTTTTTAGGCTGGTAAACCGATAGAAAGTGCGGGCTATTGATTATAAAAACAGATAGATGTAGGAAACATTATTCGTTTAATAATTAGTTTACATCACGATTCCGTAAAGTGGATCAAACGTTCTCAAATACATATTGGTATGGTGGCTTTCAAAAATTTTTCTAGTTGTACATTTTTACTACAAGGAACAGTTGTACTGTTTTCAAGATTTTTCGTGGAAGACCCCAAATATTTATGTTTCAATGGAGCAAAAAACTTTCACAAAGTAACATCTCTTGGTGAGTTAAATGCTGCGGAGATTCAACAAAACATAATTGAAATGTTTTTTGTATGCGTTTACTTCGGTTAGTTTTGCGACCAATTGTTTTTAGCTCATAAAGCCGTTTTTAAATCTTTAATTTTTTTCTAAGGCAGTCTCTAATGCTCATCACACAGAAACATCTTGGTACCTTGCGGTTTCCCAGGCCGTGATCACATCTAAATACTACGATCACGCTTTCCGCTTGTGATTTCTAATCACAGTTGATGTGGCGAAAATATATGTTATTTTTCGTTGTGATCACGTTATCATCACAGGCTTCCAAGGCCATGACCACACCTAATTACCTGTCTGTAATGACGCTTTCCGCTCGTGATTCCTAATCACAATTTGTGTGTCTTCTGCCTTCTGAAGGAGGGAAGGCCACATACGTTATTTTCCAGTGTGATCAAGTTATCATTACAGGCTTCCAAGGCTATGATCACACCTAATTACCAGTCTATGATAGCGCTTTCCACTGGTGATTCCTAATCACAATTTATGTGGCTACCTCTCCCTATAGGAAGCGAAGCCACATATGTAATTTTTCTATGTGATCACTATCATCACAGGCATAATATTATTGTTTTGATTTTACGCGGTTGTTTTTACAGAACGCACGGTTTGAATAAGTTATTTTTGCACTTGATGCGCGCTTTGCTTCTGCATAGTTATGATAAGCTATCTCGTATTTTTTCATGTATATCATTAATACGTAATCACGTGATTTTTCTCGTGCTATTTGGAATAAATAAGCACTTGTAAATTTTTTCAAAGATCACATATTGCACTCGCCCTAAGAGCTCGTGTAATTTTGTTATTCTTTGAAAAATTTTACTCGTGCTTATTTATTCCAAATTGCACTCGAAATCAAGTGATTACCTATACAAACTGAAGCTAAAATTATCATGCCGTGCTATATATTGCATCCTGCATAGCAGCTTCTAATGCTTATGGAAACGCGTTTCGTCATATTTTGTTGGTTATCATGCTGAATGATGTTCCTGCTTGTTAAAGATTTCACCATCTAAGCATTTACTTTTCTATGCTTTTCTTTGTATTCGCTAGTAGTTCTTTTAACAGAAATTAGTTATTCGTGATTACTATTACGAAAGAGATACTTCGTAAATTGTGAAATTCAAAGTATTTTTGATTACCCGTTAAAGGGACATCATCAGCGTATAAAATCGACAGAAAAAATGAATGATTATCATTAAAGAAGACTTAGCAAAATCCCTAAGTGTACCTCAGGTTCAATTTATGAGTTATCTTATTTCTTAAAATTTTTGCTCTACATTCAGTCTGTACCACAGTAACGCAAATTACATTTTGGAGGCTTGAAAAGTTCGTAGATATAGTATGATCCACAGTTTTTAACAAAAATCTTCTTTGAGCCTATGCAACCAGTAGAGCGATCACTAAAGCAGACTTTTCTGGTAACTTTACCATCTTCCACTGTAGGATGAGCACCATCCAACCAGCCTGACCAGTTTGTACCACATCTGAATGCTGGCACACGCGTTGTTGGCATTTTTGTTCCCGAAGCTCCCACAAAACGATACCATCCCTCAGCAAGTTGCTTGTCACACAGATCTGATTTTGTTATGTAACTTTTCTTTCTATTGGCATCACTCAGGTTTTTATAATGATAACAAGGATCGGCTACAAAGTGAAACAATTATTACAACAGGACTTAGAAATGACAACTACATTAAAAAAGGAGGTGAAGTAATACTTGTGTGGGACATTTTTAGACCATGAGGCTAGGAAATAAATATGGGAAATAAAATTTATTAACTACGAAAAGTAGTATCTGAATCTGTGTAACGCATTAACGCATTAAAAGACAGCTTTCAGCAAACTTAAGGCGCAGCTAAAGTAGTTTTACATACAACTAAGCAGCAATGTGTTCGTCAAATGCAATGTGTACGTCAAAATCAAGCTACAAAGAATATCACTCAAAAGAATGTTTCACGCCGTCGTCTATTATTGTTGCAACGCCCATCCAAAGGCAGAAAGACACAAAAACCATCAATGATGAAGGGGTCCGTAACATCATTTAAGGTGGTGTAATACAAATAATCCAATACTAATTATGATAAAGTTCGGATATAACGCGTGCTGTCATCGGTCGAAAAAGCGTGCTCTATCGGAGTACTGAAAACATAAGGCTGAGCTAAAACTGTCACGCCATAGAAGAACCAAATTAAGGTTTCAAAACATGCCAAGCACCGTAATTAACGCTATCATAACGTGAGCAGAGACGCAAATACTTCTCGACTACGTCTAGTGTTTATCTCTACACTTCGTTCGCGCTCTAGCCGCTTCGGCAACAACGTACAAAAATTCATTATAATAGTCAAAACGAATATGAAGGCTCCTGAGATTATTGACTGTACCTGTACAGTTGCGTCCATCTCCAGTATATCCAGGTTTGCATGTGCAAACGTGTGATCCGTGCGTGTTCTTACAAAGAGCATTTACGTGACATTTGTAGGGATATGTTTTGCATTCGTCAATATCTGTCAAAAAAAAAAAAAGAGAAAAGAATGAAAAACGGGATTTGCGTTTTATTCAAAAGTCATACATGTACATGTATGTGAAAAAAAGTGGAATACTCGTTTGCAATTTTTTTGTTTCATCCGATTCTTGGGTTGGACCTACAATTCAAACCGCTATTTTTCGATTTTTTTCTCTGGTACGGCAAAGACTATCTAAAGCATATGCTATAAACTGCTCTTGTTTTGTAACGGGAGCACAAAACACGTTATATTAACAAAAAAGAAAGAACGAACTAAAATAAATCATCAATGACCGCATTTCCTTGCTATTCCGAATTCACCTGTGCAATTTTGTCCATTTCCAGTATATCCAGGCTGACAATCGCATACGTGTGATCCATTGGTGTTGGTGCAGTTTGCATTCTCATGACAAGAGTGGTTTCCTTCACACTCGTCAATGTCTATGAAACCATAGATGAAAAAATGGGATTTCAGGATTGTGCAAATATTGCCGTGGCATAAGCCTTTACTGTGTTATCTAAAGCATACGCTTTAAACTGCTTTTGTTTTGCTAGGGGAGCACAAAACACGTTATATATACAAAAAAAGAAAGAACGAAATAAAATAAATCATCCATGGTCGCATTTCCTTGCTATTCCGAATTTACCTGTGCAATTTTGTCCATTTCCAGTATATCCAGGCTGACAATCGCATAAATGTGATCCATTGGTGTTGGTACAGTTTGCATTCTCGTGACAAGAGTGGTTTCCTTTACACTCATCAATGTCTATGAAATCACAGATAAAAAAAAAATGGGATTTCGAAATTATGCAAAAATTGTTGTGCATAAGCCATTACCGTGTTTAAAGAGTGCAAGCTGTGGCTGTTTTCAATCTTTTGCTGGATTGCGAGAACGCGAGATTGTCGTACCTGATGAAAAAAAGTTGTCTACGCAAAAAACCTATCTCTTAATAACTTTTAGTCAGGTAACTGTCTCACCTATTCTAAACAACTAAAATATGGCTTGCCACGTTACCAAAATAAACATCAACAAACAACCAACCAAACAAAATCTCATTACACTATTCAACAAGAATCTAAAGGCTTTTGAGACTAATGAAGGTTACCTGTACAATTATGCCCATCTCCGATAAATCCAGATTTGCATATGCACACGTATGATCCGTTTGTGTTATTACACGTAGCCTCCTTGTGACATTTGCCAATGAATGCCTCACATTTATCTGTCGTAAAATTAGAAAGAAAGAAGGACCAAAAAAAAATACATGAATAAATATCAATTACAGATATAAGCATTTTGATTTCTATCAAACAGCCATAGAAACTCAGCAACTCAGCAACTCACGAAAACCTCAATTTATTTGTAGCTTCCTGCTTTTAGTAGTTCTGTGGCCGTACTTTTCAATTGAGCTATTGTTTCTGAGCTCTCCTTGCAGTTCCTATATTAAGCACTCGACATACGTATGAACTGCTCTTATTTTGCCATGGAAAGGCGTCGAACATTCAAGGTAAATAAAAAAAATAAAAGAATAAAACAAAAAAACAAAAACAAATACAAATACAAAAACAAAACAAAAAAACCACAAACAAGCAAACAAACCAAAACAAAACAAAACCAAAATATATAAACAAGCGAACGAAGAATACATTACACACGCTCAATAAAATATAGTAAGAAATTTTTCTTAGATTCTAAGATTCAGCACCTTATACGAGGAGATAAATTCACGCCACTTTCAGCAACTAAAGAACAGTTGTCATCAAAAAAATTTCATAGAGGTTCATTTCAAGTGTTGACTTAGACTCATACCCTTTTCACAATATTCTCCTTTGAATCCAGGAGGACACAGGCATCGATATCCCTTGAGTGTAAATCCAGACTGGCAAGTTGCGTTATTTTCGCAGTAGGGACTCTTGTCACAAGCGTTCTAAAGAAAAAGAAAAATTAAAATGAAAGGAGAAACGAAATACCGAATGATCGAATACACAAAAATTTGTATAAACATTAATTTTTGTTATTATATTATTCAAAGGCGATAACTTAGAAAAATCGATTTTTAACTCACCTTCGAGCCGCGATAATAAAAAGTGGCATTAGTTGTCAAATGACTGTCGTATTTTAGATGAGTGGCGTTATTTAGTTCACAGATGTGAAGTGGTCTATTATTCTCTGGATCTTTTTCGAAGTTAAGACTGACACAGTGGTCGTTCAGGTAGCACAGTAGCTCACAGTCATCCAAGTTATTGACGCCTTTCTTTTCAATGGTATGGTTTACCAAACGTCTTTCGGAAAAGAAGTAGTAGTCCGGAAACACCATTGCGCGCTCTCGCTCTAAAATACACAAATTGGAATATGATTATAAGGCATACTTTCCTTCGCAAAAAAAAGAAATTTCGAGTAAAAAGTTCTAAGAACAAATCTCTTCGCAAAAGTTCTCGGATCTCAGCAAACTATGGTGGCAAATGCGTTAAAAACGTAAGTCAAACATAGCAGTCGGTGAGAAAAACGATGATTCGTTAGATGTAATTGAACATTTTGTGAATTGCTTCGCCGTTTTCTACAATTAAACAATAAGATGAAAATACCCTTATTTGAGAGTCTGGGGGTTTCTGAGATACGGAACATTTACGGCAAATATTTCGAGTTTCACATGAGTTTGGCGATTCAAGAAGCTCGTTTTTAGATGAGTCTATCATATCGAAAGAAAAGACGAGCTAATCAAACACTCTGTGAAATTCCTACTACAGAGGGAGTTAATTGATGTTTGCATTTTTGATGCATTTTTCATCAGTGCAATGAACACAATTTAAATTCTTTTATAAGGAGCCTTTAATATCTCAAAAACTTTGACCAGAGATGGTCTTAACGTGAAAAAGTGTAAAGTTTTTTTTCTTCTTTTTTTTTTTTTTTTTTTTTTTATATAAACAGGTGCTTGACTATTGAGTGTTTATTAAAGAAATGTATAACTGAAGAGCTCCTCTGCGGCTCTTTTCTTCGAACGACTATCGTGAACAGAGGGAATTCATGCAAATTTAAGCCGAGAAAAATAATTCTTGTTTTGCGTCAATGAGCAGATTTGTATTCGTTTTCGAGAGTTTTCTAAACGGGCAAATGTAGAATGAAATTTTATTTCTTTTACTTTTGCGAGCCAATGAAAGTTGTTTGAATTGCTTAGCTATGGTGAATATAATTATCTCTTTATTTCCTTCATTTGTTTTCTGAAAACAACTCATTTATCTGTTCATCGTTTTAATTCATTAGTTGTTTTTCTCATGTCGAATAAAGTCTACCCAAATCATTTTTATGCTATTGAAAAATGTTGATCACAGCAACAGAGTTTTTAAAACAGTGAAAATATATATTAAATAAATTTTAGTCTAAGGAAACCTTGCTGGGATATTGATTATGAAAGAGCGCAAAATTGGAAAATTACACGCAGCTTCTGTGCAAAGGTTTTCTTGAGGATCATCTCAATTAAGCAATTGTTCTTTGGCAAGTTTTAAAGCCTCCAATTCGAAAAGCAATATTTAAAAGGATTTTGCGTCAAAGGTTTTAATTTTTCAATCCCACACAATGGTTAAATTATATGGAGACGGGCTACCCTATTTTTATAGGCAAATATTTAAAACCAGTACAAATTGGTCTATTCCAAATGCCGGCATTGTCCTGTTATAAAAATAACTTCGCTTAAGTTGGCTAAGAGCGGCCAATTTTTTTTTCCAAGCAAATTATCGAATTCCTGTCTGCAGCACAACAACGAAATATTTTTGATAGAATTGATTATCCTTCCATGTAAATATGAGCTGATGAGCGTTAGGATTGAAGTTGTTTTGAATGAAACAATTCTTCATCGTAGCAATTCTTACTTTTTTTGTAACAACTGAAAATTTCCGATATGGTTCATCATAATAATACGCCTTTGTTAATTACTGTAAATATCTACAAAAGAAGTTTACAAGACTGCGGTTCCTTCCTTTAAAAATCATCTTTGTTGAATTCAGGTTTTTAATTTTGTCATAACGATACATTAATAAGCTCAGTGCATCAACTGTTGTAAATCAGCGAAATAAAAATAAAGAGTGACGGAAAATAAGATAGCAAGGGCTGGAGTATGAATACAGGGATGGAAAATGATGCGCATTTTGTAACTCACCTTTACCAAACGTCAAGTAAGTCGTCGATGAAGTCAAGACTGCGAATACTAGAAACGCTGAAAATTCCATGCTTCCTCAAGACAACGGAGCTCAGTATTGATGCTTTCAGTGTGCCACAAATTTCGCGTCGACCACCTGCATTTGATAATGAATTTAAGTGATAGAAACCGACCTATTAGTATTAAAAGTGGGATGTTAACAAAATTAACAGCTGTCAGTTCTGACCCTGCAAATAATATACGTGGGTACGCGTTTTAAAGTTTGCGAATGAACACGTTTCCAATGTCTTCCTTTGTGCCAGTTAGAAACACTTTGGTTTTGATGGGCTACGATTCTATTGGTGTTCATCAACAGATTATAAAAAGGGATTTTACCACAAAAATTTCCATAACATCAACTTCAATTGCTTCATAATTATAATCAATGGAGTGCGTTTAAGACAATAACATCATAAAATATTCTTAAGAACATTAGGTGAACATATTCCAATAATGCAGTCACATAAAAAGCCAAGGTCCCTTGAGTTTCTAAGAACTCCCAATTTTCAAGATCGATCCATAAATTCAACGTTTCTTCGTTTGCGTGTTTGTTTTGTTTTGTTTTTTTGTTTCATTCTCAGGGGAAACTCCTCACAAGTTTAATAGAAGCGTCAATAATTGACGAAAAGAAAATTCTCACAAAAATATGGTAATAAAAATAGATCTTATGTACCGGAAGTCCCGCTCACGAAATCCTGCGGATAATGGTAATCGGCGTGTAGAAGCAGACAGGCTGGCGTAACCTTATCCGCCAAAAAAAAAAAAAACACTCGCACAGTTAGCTTTCATTTTCCAAAAACACGTATACTTAATAAAGACTGTATCTTGAAATATGTCTGAAATTATGAAATAAGACACGTTCTTAGATAGATTGTGAGTCTCTTGTTCTAATTCGACGAAATGAATAAGAGAAACTCCTTTTTGAATTTAGAATATCGTGTTTGAAGTTGTTAAGCTGTACCTCCCACTTCACTACAGCGAGCAAAATATTTTCTCGTTTGGCCCTCCCACATACTCGAAATAATACAGGAACGCAATAATTTGAAGTCCTAAGTTATTAGACATTTCATCTTCCCCGACATTCATTAACGTCAAAATTGATTAATGACGAGTTCTAATAAGCTCTTTAGTTTGAACAAACAATAAATCTCTCGTAGATGGTAGATATTAAACAACAAAAAATTCCATAAATTTTCTGAGCAACTTACTACCTATGTCTCGATACATCAGGATTGAATAAAGATTGTCGAATGAGAACCCCTGAATGTTGTTTTAAGCGCCATTTTCATCTCAAAGATAATAGCAAATTGATGTTTGGAAAAGGTGTACCGTAATTTATGATTGGATTCATCCAAACCATTCAGTATCGGATCTGGCTTCCAAGGCCTTCATTGGAAGAACCTTTAAATCATAAGACATTTTCAGGTTTTACTCCGTTAGATAAAATTGTTGCAGACTTAAGATTAAAGAGACATGTGAGCCAACATTTGGTTCCCGACTTATTTTTCTGATTGAAAGCCATGTAAATCAACTTCCATATTTTTTCGAGGTTCTTCTTGTTCAAAATCATCACTTTAGTCACAATATGAACGGAATTCAAACGAGCTGCATATTGGTCTAAGTTGAGGGATAGAACAAAACAATCTGTGAAAGGAAATATTTCTAAGTACAGAAAAAAACAAATGTAATTTTTGGCTAGTTAAATATTTCAAATAAAGAAGATTTTTGTCATCAATTCTATTTTTCTTTACCGTAAATTGAACCCAAACAGCGGGCTTCTTCACTGCATTAATACCTCTCTCATCACTTTATGGAATTTCCTGTCGTTTCGAGTTTCACAATTTGCGACGAGCTTGGAACCGCCAGCATTGACTTTTTATAATTTGGCACTTTTCTCTATTTACGGTAATGATGGAACTACAATTTCTACATGGGGTGTCATTATAACCATAAACAAATATCGGTGAGAAAAGGTTTAAGAAGTAAACCCTTGTAGGAAACTAAAATTAAGGACAATGATCTTGTTTATTTCAAATAGCTGAAGCTGTTTTTTCGCCAAACGTTTTTTATATCCACATTTGAAAGCTCGGTATTTTTCATTTTCGTTTTATTTCAGCCACACAGAAATAAAGAAGTTAAGAGTGGATATTCAATTTATATCATGGAATGAAAGTCAAACTCAAGTTATCCATGCATTAAATATATCACTTCATACCCTCAAAGATTCAACGTTCTTTGGTGCCCAACTTTAGTGTTATTGAGCCAAACGTGTTTTCTTTTATTACTGTCTGGTAGGTATGGTTGCGATAGCAACAGTTGGTTTCAAGCCAAGATGAATATTAATATCAGAAATGAACTGCTTTCTTCCTCTTTGGGCTCTTTGCACCAAAAGCTAGACTCGTAAAATAATACTAGGTGAAAAATTGAACCTAATGCAACGGATTGACTGGAGTCATGCGTCTTGGACTATAAATTGTTATTATTAATTCCTTGAAAGAGTCGTCTGTGGTCCAGTGCCAAAGGCGTAAAAATTATATAATGACTGACCCTATAAAGTCCTATTGTGCTCCTTCTGCATTACATTAGCGATTTCAGTCGAAGAAGGTAAATAAGTCTCCTGTACGGTCCAAGTTTCTAAGGAAAATGAGTGCGATATACTAGGGTATCCTTCAAAGAAGATTATCACTGGTCAAAGTGTATGAGAAATTAAGCACCTGAATGATCGAATGCACGGAATTACATATATATGACAAAGTCACGCACCAGTTTCAATAAACAGTTGCTTGACTATTGAGGGTTTATTAAAGAAATGTATTAGTGAAGAGGTTCCCTGTGGCTTTTGTCTTCGAACGGTCATCGTGAACAGAGGAAATTTGTGCGAATTGAAGCCGAAAAAAAACGTTCTTGTCTTGCATCAATGGGCAGATTTATTTCAGTTTTCGAAGTTTCGAAACGTACAAACCCAAAATAACATTTTAAAATTTTTACTTTTGTTAGCCAACGTAGGTTATTAGAATTGCTTAGCTATGGTGAATATAATCATCTCTATATTTCCGATACTTGTTTTCTTAAAACAACTCATCGTTTTCAGTCATTCATTTTTCGTCTCTTATTTCGAAAAAAAC